GCATTGAATTGAATTGAATTGAATTGACAGAGAGAGAGAGTGAGAGAGAGAGAGATAGACAGAGAAAGAGAGAGAGAGAGCACATATTCAGTTATGTAATTAATGTTTCTAATTCCTGATGTTTAAAATGTATTACATTTTTCAAATGTACCACGTTTTATTTTTATTATTATTAATAGTAGTAATGGTAGTATTTTACTTTATTTTATTTTATTGTGTTTTATTTTATTGCTTTTGGCATGTCCCTATTTATTCTATGCTTATATGTATTACCATATTTATATTGCAGATTTTATAGCTTTGTTTAAACTATTTATCCATATGAACTTTTGTTTAATTATTATTATTATTATTATTATTATTATTATTATTAATTCCTATTCGTTTAAATTTTAACAATAATTCAAATTTAACTTGTATTTACAGCTTTGGCAACATAGGTCTCATATCCTGTCATGCCAATAAAGCATATTTGAGAGATAGACACAATAAAGCATATGGAGAGAGACAGAGAGAGAGAGAGAGAGAGACAGAGAGAGAGAAAGAGAGGAGGGGTCAAAGGGAGAGGAGTTAAAGAAGAGGAGGAGACTTTACATTGAACTTTATCAGTCAGTTTACAGTCAGTAGGAGAACCACAGTAAAGACGCAATGGAGAGAGAGAGAGAGAGAGAGAGAGAGAGGGACAGACAGAGAGAGAGAGACAGAGACAGACAGAGAGAGAGAGACAAACAGAGACACAGAAACAGAGAGAGAGAAAGACAGAGACAGAGAGAGAGAGAGAGAGATGGAGAGAAAGAGAGAGACAGACAGAGAGAGAAACAGAAACAGAGAGACAGACAGACACAGAGAGAGAGAGAGACAGAGACAGACAGAGAGAGAGAGAGACAGACAGACAGAGAGGGAGAGAGACAGACAGAGAGAGAGAGAGACAGAGACAGACAGAGAGAGAGAGACAGACAGAGAGGGAGAGAGACAGACAGAGAGAGAGAGAGACAGAGAGAGAGAGAGAGAGAGAGAGAGGGAGAGAGAGACAAACACAACTTCACTGTTTAAATAAATCAAAGAGAAAATCTCTCACACTGACTTACTGCAGCTGTTTGTCTAATTCCTGCTCATTTACTGACTAATCATCATTTAGAGGATGACCAACACAAACTGTGCAGCAGCAGATGAGCTATCGTCTCTGACTTTACATCTACAAGGTGGACTGACAAGGTAGGAGAGTCTAATAGAGTGGACAGTGAGTGGACACTGTTTAAACTCCAGTTATGCATTATGTGCCTTTTCTGCCAGTGTGTTCCAAAGAGCCCTTCTCACTGCAGAATTACGGCCGTCTGTGTTTTATTCTCTGCTGACATCGCAGTCAGTGAACGTAAATATCATACACTATACTGCCAAAAGTATTCGCTCGTCTGCCTTCACACACATATAAACTATGAAGCTATAACAGCTTCAATTCTTCTGGGAAGGCTTTCCACAAGGGTTAGGAGTGTTTATGGGAATTTTTGACCTTCTTCCAGAAGCGCATTTGTGAGGTCAGACACGCGCTGTTCTTAAGCTAATCTGAAGGCCACAAGAAGTTTGGAGGTCTGTAGCAATTGACTCTGCGGAAAGTTGGTGACCTCTGCGCACTATGCGCCTCAGCATCTGTTGACCCCGCTCTGTCATTTTACGTGGCCGACCACTTTGTGGCTGAGTTGCTGTCATTCCCAATCGCTTCCACTTTCTTATAATAACACTGACCGTTGACTGTGGAATATTTAGTAGCGAGGAAATGTCACGACTGGACTGGTTGCACAGGTGGCATCCTATCACGGCACCACGCTGGAATTCACTGAGCTCCTGAGAGCGACCTATTCTTTCACTAATGTTTGTAGAAGCAGTCTGCATGCCTAGGTGCTTTTATACACTTGTGGTCATGAAAGTGATTGGAACACCTGAATTCAATGATTTGGATGGGTGAGTGAATACTTTTGGAAATAAAGTGTATATACAGTTATAAAAATACACGTCATGTCCTTTTTAATAAGATTTTTAAAAAAATGTTCAAATGTTTTTAATATATAGTGTGAAATTTCAGGATGTTTGTGTGCAGTTACAGGTTGTGTTGAAATGACAGTTTAATGCATTGATTGCCAAATTTGAAAGCTTTTATTTAGCCAAATAAGTTCTTTTTATGCAGTGTTTTGTTGTAGTTTGGCTGAATATCACATAATCTGACAGCATATCTGGTTTAGCTGAAGTTTATCAGGTAGAATCGTGCTTGTTTTGTCAGATCAAACAGGTTACTGGTTTAGCCAAACCTGAGTTAAACTGAGACTAACCTGCTTGCTAAGCTAATGACACAGTAACAACCCCAAAAAAGTTAAATCTGTTTAGCTTTACATACATGAAACCACACAAACGTGTTTCATGGGGAAACAAATTTCAAGAAATTCTGAAGAATGTACACTGTGTGATATTTAAATGGAGAGAAAGTTTTCTCAATAGGCCAATCAGAACAGAGTTCATTAATATTAATGAGCTATAAAAGGCACAGTAACAGAGATGCTGGTAAACAAGCATAGACTGATTTTATCACATGAAGTCACATAAACACATATAATGGACAGAACAAAACACAAGCCAAGAGAAGAGAAAGTTACTAATTTATTTCTGATGCTGTAAGTCTCTATCTGACAATCAGCTGAGCTTCAGGACCCACACCAGTGTGTTGGTGGTAAAGCGGTTAGGGTTAGGGTTAGCTGTCATCAAAGCAGCTGACCTGGGTTTGAATCCTACAGCATCTACTGCGGTATGTATTGTATAACTGTATCATTCACTCCTACAGCGTCTACTGCAGCGTGTATTGTATAACTGTATCATTCACTCCTACAGCATCTACTGTGGTATGTATTGTATAACTGTATCATTCACTCCTACAGCGTCTACTGCGGCGTGTATTGTATAACTGTATCATTCACTCCTACAGTGTCTACTGTGGTATGTATTGTATAACTGTATCATTCACTCCTACAGCGTCTACTGCGGCGTGTATTGTATAACTGTATCATTCACTCCTACAGCATCTACTGTGGTATGTATTGTATAACTGTATCATTCACTCCTACAGCGTCTACTGCGGCGTGTATTGTATAACTGTATCATTCACTCCTACAGCGTCTAATGCGCCGTGTATTGTATAGCTGTATCATTCACTCCTACAGCGTGTACTGCAGCGTGTATTGTACAACTATTATTTACTCCTATATCACTGTAACATTACCTGTGGTGTTACTGTGGATCAGTGCAGGATCATTGCAGTACCTGGATCAGCCGCTAGAGGGTCAATGTAGAGACAATGTAGAGTGTGTTTATTCAGAGATAATGGGTTAGTGTGGAATGCAGTAGGTGGTTCCCTCGGGACTGTGAGGCTTTTCTCCTCCAGATGTTCTCCAGCGTTGGTGGTATAGTGGTTAGCATAGCTGCCTTCCAAGCAGTTGACCCGGGTTCGATTCCCGGCCAACGCAGCTCTTTTAAATCTATAACATAAACATCAACAAAAACTCTACACATCTGGCACCTTCCTTGAATAGAGTTCAGTTTATGTCCCATCACGTTTTTAAAAGCAATAAAGTGACTTTTTTTTATTTCTGTAAAATTAAGAGATCTTAACATCAACCTTTAACTTACAAATATAAGCATTAAATGGATAAACACCCTCCAGCATAGAATTAGCTGATTCTGAGGGAAAGTGGGGGAGCAGTGGAAGGTGTGTGTGTTGGGGGGGTGAAATGTTACCTGAATCTTGAAAAAAAAAAAACTTTATTTTGGCATAATCTCAACCTCTGAGCCACTGACCACCAGTGGGGCGTGAAGCACTCTAGTGGTCCATGGGCCTGTGCTCAGGGGGAGGCAGTAGTTCATATTGGGTCAGTATTGTCAGTTTGTACTAAGAACTATAAATACAAAAAGTTCATCTTAATAATGAAGAATTGAGGAATCAAAGTTTTTCAATTCTAATCAATATACAAATTAATAGAGATGCACAAATCAAAATGTCACCACAGTAGTTCAATATAACGCTTTAAGACAACACAGCTGCAGGTGCTCGATGCAGACAGTTAGCCAGAGTTTTCTCTTCTTCTAGCAGCATCAGCGCTGTACTGTCAGCATATTCTGCCTGTTTTAATGTCTAATTCTTCACAGACTCTCATTTACTTCCGTTCTTGCAGCTGGAGCAGCTGTAAAATAAAATAGTGAAGAGATACGTGTGATTTTGGCTCATAGATCAGAACATATGTTTGGCTGCGCATCAGTGACCTGAGTGGTAAAAGGTAAATTGATGAACCAGTCATTAACAAGCAGATATCAAGTAAGGTTTATAATTATTGCTTTGATTGTGACGACACTAATCCAAAAGCCCAATATGTAGAGTGTGGCTTCACTCATTTCAATAAGAGGTTAAAACTATAAAGACTAAAGAGAAACATGATGGACTGCAGCTACAAATGTGAGGAATTCAAGATTCATGATTAAGAGTTTTATTGTTCGGTAAAACAGATGGTTACACTGTATAAAATTCTTTCCATAACATCACAGTCCATGTCTACCTCATACATTTCTATTATTTTTTCTTATTTTACCTTTTTTAAAAATCACTGTAAATGTTATATTTTTTTTAACATTACTGCAAATTTGGGCTTCTGTGATTGAACCAAAATGGAGGATGTGATCTTTTTCAGGCTCTTTTTCAGATTTTGTCAGAAAATGAAAATTGTATTAAAGATTGGTTGTGGGCAGCTATGCTTTATAGTTATAAAGAGGCAGATCATGGGGTGGAAAAAGGTGAGAAACCCTGATACAGACGACAATCACTTCTGGAAGAATCTGCACACTTGCATTTGTGTGGGAAATAGAAACAGTTAGACATCATTAGTCACCGGTGGACTTTCACAAGTGCTGTGATTGGTCCAGTAAAGCATCACTCCACCCTCTTCACCCAGTTAAACACCTTCCAGCACTTCCTCCTGTGGTGGTGAACTAATCTAGTACAAACCGGTTTACAGTGAGAGTGAAACCTTCAGCAGCTTCTGTTTAGTGAAGAGAAGATCATAAACAGAGAGAGAAAAGCTCAGAGGTAATTACTGAAGATCAACACACAGAATTTAGTTTCTGACTTGATGATTAAAGACATTTCAGACAGAGAACATCACTGTGGAACTCAGAGACAGAACTATATTTCAGAGAACAGCTTTCAGATGAAGTTAACATGTAGACTTCACTACTTCTGTGTGTGTGTTTACAGGATTCGGTCTAATCTGAAGGAGGAGCCATGACCTCCAAAATGAGCTTCTCTGAGGAGCAGCACTCACAGAAAGCTGAGAGGTGAGAGAATCATGGGATTTGGGGTAAAGACTGTATGTTCTCATCTACACCAACATGCAGGAACGTTTGTAGATCATGTCTGATATTGGTTGTGTTCTAGACTGGTTCACGGTCAAAGATCTGACTTACCTGAACCCAGCTGTGTGTCCATGAAGAGTGACCGGTTAATGGACAAAGATATGAACTTCAGAGAGGATAACAGTTCATCTGAGCTCAGGTAAGAATGACGTGAAACTGAAGAATGAGATGAAAAAAATGCTCTTTTTTCTCACAGGAGACAAAACAAACAATGAATACACAATATTTTCTGCTTTACTGTATATTTTTATTCTGCAGACTAATTTTAATAACATGGAGTGAATATACACAGTGTATAAAACTGAATATTGAAATGAATGTTGTAACATTATATTAGTATATAAAATTGCATTGTTTGTTTACTTCCCAACCTTTATCTTAATAAACTATGAATTTTTAGTGTTTAAACCTTTGTATATTTGACTGTAACAAAATTTTCCCTGTTTGGTGTGATTTTCCTGTTTCCAGCTATGAGTCCATGAAGAGTGATCAGTCAATGGGTGTTCCACTAACCCTCAGAGAGGAGGACAGATCTACTGATCTGAGGTAAAGACAGTTTTCAGTATGAATGGTGCAGTAAAATGTTCCTCACTTCCAGTCCCACCTGATTAATCTCAGCAGGTGAGAGAGGTGAGTTAGAGCAGGAGAACACTAAACTGTGCAGTGCTGTGACTCTACAGAACCTGGAGTGAAGAACACTGGATTAGGGGATTAATTTAAAGATCTAATACTGAGTGTTCATTTATAAAGTTTCAGCTGCTGCTAACATTCATTATATATATATCTAATATATCTACACAGTGAATGTAACTGAATTTTAAATGAATATGTTGTAACATATGAAAGTGTGTTTATTGAGCTGTTCAGGTTGTTCACAATACACGACTGATAATCTTATGATTTCTAACAGAGTCCAGAAGAACTCAGATATTACCAGGAGAAACATGGAGATCATATTCAAGGTGTGTGTGTGTGTGTGTGTGTGTGAGTGTGTGTGTGGGTGATTGTGCTACATGAATTACATGTATATCATTTGTAGTAAGACCATGAAATATATTTGTAAATTGAGTTTTCAGTCTGTTTGATCAGAGCAGGTTTGTTATTTCAGAAAAAAACAATTATTTACTTTTTTCTTTTGTATCAGTGATTTGGGTGATGTCTTGTTTAACTGGTGGTGATGAGCAGCGATTCTGGGTTTCTCACATAATTTGAGACAATATGAATCATAAATTAACTTCTCACCATAACTGGAGCTCTAAAAGTGTTTTATGCCAAGCACAGAGGTGCAAGTAACGAATTACATTTCCTTTCGTTACTGTAATTGAGTACAGTTTTCCCTGTAACGGTACTTTTTGGAGTAGAATTAAATCAGAGTACTTTTACTCTACTTGAGGTTATTTTTAACGAAATACTTTTACTTCACTACTTTAATCTTCATAACGTTACAGAGTAAAAATGAACGATGAGCGTTTCAGCTCAGAAACCAGTAAGAAGGACGTGCGGTTAAATTTAAAAGATACACCAATCAAAAAACAGCATCTCCGGCAGGAAAAATACTACAGAGATGACCAGTTTAGTGGAGATGGACAGAGGAGAAGTGAACCAGCACACAGGAGGAACTGACCATCCAAACGGTCATCTGTGTCCATTTAACATGACCTAAAGAAAACGGCGTTATTATCGGCGGCCGAACACGAAACCTGCTGAGATCCGCTCTCACAGCTCCACTCCAGCCTGAGGCAGCGTTAGCCGAGCGAGCTGATCCGAGCTGAACAGGTACCGTGTTCACGGGTTTCTTCTGTCTTTATAAAGATTCTGTTTATTAAACTTTAAATCTGCTGCGTTTATTTTATCACAAGTGCCTCTCAGACACTTTAGTGCACAGGTGTCGCCCACAGCCTGCAGTTCATCCGTTTATACAGCCTAGTTTAGCTGCTGTTTGGAGATCAATGGTCGTTTACGGCTGAGAGACAAGAAATCTTGTCTAATACGGTTTTTCATCAACTCTGGACAGAGATTCTGTCACGCTGTCGCTTTTTAAGCTGACTGGCCCGATCTGAGCGAACTGTGATCAGTCTCAGCTCTCAGAACTTTAGCTTTAGTGTTTTTCTGTACAGATTATTTTCAGTGATGTAGCCGAGTAGCTCAGAAATATGTTCAGCGGATGTTGTAACAGTGGAAATACAAAAAAAGTAACTCAGTAACTCAGTACTTAAGAAGTTTTTCAACAAACTACTTATTTACACTTACTTGAGTAATTTACTAATACTTTTACTTGTACTTGAGTAAATTATCACTACAGTAACAGTACTTTTACTTCAGTAGGGATGATTTTCAGTACTCAGTACACCTTTTGTGAAGAATAAACTGCATAAGATGACATTTTATTCTTCTATCATGCTGTTTACTCAATAAAAACAATACCAACAACAACAACAATAATAATAATAAAAATAAAAATATAATATTATAGTTATTATAATAATAATAATATAATAATTGCCTCACTCTGGTAACAGGATCCTGTTTCTGTCTCCTTAATCAGGAGCTGGAGCACAAAGTCATCTCTCTGGTGAAGAATCAGCTGAAGAGGTTTGTGAAGCTGCTGAGTCTGGATTACCCAGCATGCTCTGAGAGAGAGGTGGAGGATGAGGAGAATCAGAGCAGTGTCAGAGAGGGGGCGCTGGAGATCACACTGACCGTCCTGAGGAACATGAACCAGACTGACCTTGCTAACACACTACAGAGCAGTAAGACATCAGGGTCATGTGATTATTCATCATATTCATTCATATTTAAGCAATAGAAAGCTCAAGGTTGTGTGTTATCGCAAAACATCGCGGCTGTGATTTGGTCGCCGTAGATCTTCACAGCCGCGATGTTGTTGGCGATAACACACAACCTCGAGTGTTCTATTGCTTTTATACAATAGCTAAATAAATAAAGTAAGAAATTAATAAAAATGTTTTAATGTATGCAGTTCCTTCTGCCAAATTATAGTTCCTTAACAAGCAGCTTGTTGCTACGTCAAGCTCCGCCCACTCGCTGCACAGCCGCTCCAGCTCCTTACACTAAATTCCCAAACTGTCATCACCACTGAGCAGCGTTTTTTTTTTTGCAGCAGCAGCAGCAGTTTTATGGCTCAGTCCGATTTGGTCAGACTCTGAAGGTGAGGCTACATGTTTGGCCAATGGTATTGGGTTCATTTCTGGCTGCCGACTGAAAAGCTGCTCAGTGGTGATGACAGTTTGGGAATTTAGTGTAGTCTCATCTTTAGAGTCCAAATTGGCTGTCGGTCAAATGTGATCCATTTTGGATCCATCCAAAAAGTATCCATTATCTGTTTGTGGCAAAGTAAGAGGTAAAAACGTTCAAATGTCTTGAGCATCTCCTACAGCTGTCAAAGTCTTGCTTAGCAACGGCATCTTAGCAGAGTGATACAGTGTTTGTGGAAAACCCGTGATGTTATGGTAAAATAATAGCACGATTAGAACGCTTCTCAACCAATCAGCTTGAGTGGCCAGAAGTAAATGTTGTATAATAAGAGTTTAAATGATCAGGACAATGTAATATTAATAGTAAGCATTTCAGAACTGTTAGGTGTTGCTTACTGAGAAGCTTTTTCTGACATTCTGATATTCTGATGTTATTATAATGTGTCATAGTGTGTTAATATTGTTTATATTTCAGTTATGTTGTTATTGTTATTGTTTCCTCTTTTTATCAGAAATGGCTCCCTCTTGTCATCAAAAGCTGAAATCAACACTGAAGGAAAAATTTCAGAAAATTAATGAAGGAATCTCAAATTCTGGAACCTCAACCCTTCTGAATGAAATCTACACAGAGCTCTATGTCACAGAGGGAGGGAGTGGAGAGGTCAATAATGAACATGAGGTCAGACAGATTGAAACAGCATCCAGAAGACCAGCAACACAGGAGAAACCCATCAAATGTAATGGCCTTTTTAAAGATAATTCCATCAGAGCTGTGCTGACTAAAGGAGTTGCTGGAATTGGAAAAACAGTGTCTGTGCAGAAGTTCATTCTGGACTGGGCTGAAGGAAAAGCAAATCAGGACGTCCTCTTCATATTTCCACTTCCTTTGAGAGAGCTGAACTTGATGAAGGAGAAAAATCTCAGTCTGGTGGATCTTCTTCATATTTTTTTCTCAGAAACAAAAGAACTGAAACCAAGAGACTATCATCACTACAAAGTCATGTTCATCTTTGATGGTCTGGATGAGTGTCGACTTCCTCTAGATTTCCAGAACAATGAGAGCTTATTTGATGTAACACAGTCAGCCTCAGTAGATGTGTTGCTGACAAACCTCATCAAGGGGAATCTGCTTCCTTCTGCTCTCTTCTGGATAACTACTCGACCAGCAGCAGCCAATCAGATCCCTCCTGAGTGTGTTGACCAGGTAACAGAGGTACGAGGGTTCAGTGACCCTCAGAAAGAGGAGTACTTCAGGAAGAGGATCAGTGACCAGAGCCTGGCCAATAAAATCATCTCCCACATGAAGTCCTCAAGAAGCCTCTACATCATGTGCCACATCCCAGTCTTCTGCTGGATTGCAGCCACTGTTCTAGAGAGAGTGTTGGGTGAAGCAGAGAGTGGAGAGATCCCCAAGACTCTGACTCAAATGTTCACACACTTCCTGATCTTTCAGATCAAACACAAGGACCAAAAGTACCATGGGAAATGTGACACTGATCCTCAGCAGACTAGAGAGAGTATTCTGGCACTGGGAAAACTGGCTTTCGAACAGCTGGAGAAAGGCAATCTGATCTTCTATGAGGAAGACCTGAGACAGTGTGGCATTGATGTCAGAGAAGTGTCAGTATACTCAGGAGTTTGTACCCAGATCTTCAGAGAGGAGTTTGGGCTGCACCTGGGGAAGGTGTTCAGCTTTGTGCACCTGAGTGTTCAGGAGTTTCTGGCTGCTTTATATGCATTTATGTACTTCATTTCCTACAACAGAAATGTCCTCTTAACAGGTTTATTTGGTTTACTCAGAAAGTCAACAATGTTAGATTTTCACAAATCTGCAGTGAACAAGGCCTTACAGAGTGAGAATGGATGCCTGGACCTTTTCCTCTGCTTCCTTCTGGGTCTCTCACTGGAGTCCAATCAGACTCTCTTACGAGGCCTACTGACACAGACAGGAAGCAGCTCTCACAGCAAAGAGGAAACAGTCCAGTACATCAAGGAGAAGATCAGGGAGAATCCCTCTCCAGAGAAAACAATCAGTCTGTTCCACTGTCTGAATGAACTGAATGATCATTCTCTGGTGCAGGAAGTCCAATCATACCTGAAGAGAGGAGGTTCCAGTGGACTCAGTGGAGCTAAACTCTCTCCTGCTCAGTGGTCAGCTGTGGCGTTTGTGATACTGAATTCAGAGGAGCTGGATGAGTTTGACCTGAGAAAATATGATCCATCAGAGAAATGTCTTCTGAGGCTGCTGCCAGTGGTCAAAGCATCCCGAAAAGCTGTGTGAGTATTTTCACTCATAATTGTTGTCACTGTTTTGTTTTTAATGTAAATCAGGTTTAGTGCAGTCTGCTTTTAGATATTTTGATGATTTCCCTCTCATTACATGACATCTATCTATTACTTTGCAATGTGATTTTATTAAATCACAATCAGTTTTGATGTATTTCTGTAGTTAAAAAACTAAATGCTTAGAAACTAACAGAAAACATTCAGAGGATAAAGTCTGAGTGCTTTGCACTGCTTTTGTCTTTTGTTATTTATGGTAATTGTCAATGGTACTGGTGTTTTTGCTGTAGTAGGTTAGCATGCCAGGCTATAGTGCTGTATGATGGCAGGATGTAGTGAGTAACATTTGTGCATGTGAAATTTTTTTCTGGTAGCTGTAGCTGTCCCTGTATATTTTTTTTCTTGCATGTTTAAAATCTGTTTTCAATCTGTTCCTTCCAGTTTCACTGTCACTTATGTTTTAACCCATTTCTGTGAAATTTCATTGTTCCAGCTTTTCTCGAGCTTTGCTCTCGTATTGGCGGAGCAATCCCCCAATGCTCCTCCATTGTTGGAGGCTATGAACCTCTTTCTATCATGTTGTAATAATTGTAACTCCTTATCTGTTGGTGTTTCCTTACCTATTTCTTGTATTTTGCTTGTTGTGTTTTGTCTATTTGTGGCTGATTGTTGATCATTTCAGCCTGTCCTTTACTTAAAACTTTATCAAACTGAACATCTTATCAGTTATCTATTTAAAGACTTTGATGACGTCGCCTTCAACTCATTAAAGTCTACCGCCAGAGTAGCCAGGATGTGTCAGTGCACACAGAGCCCACACTGACTCACTGATTTAAATGAGAGTTGTCTTTTTCATCAAAAGGCAGAAAAAAGCCAGATTTAAACATTCTACCAGCACCACAAGAGTGCCACTGCAGGACAAAGTTATATTCTGTATGAAAGCTGTAAAATCTTGTGAAGCTTATGTAGTTTCCTTCCAAATGTGGAGTTTGTGGACAAAAGAAAGAGGAAATTCTAGGAATCCCACCCTAATATAAACTAAATGAAAACATACAAGAAAAGAAAAAACACGAATTTACATGATTCCTTCATAGTTGATAATACTTAATGCCATAAAATACAAAGTTTATCAAAATCTAAAACTCCAAAATTAGATTTCAATTGAAATGGCAATTAAAATGGATCAGCATGTGGAATTGAAGCTTTCTACGTGTTACTGGTTCCTATCAATGTGTAAGTAAATTTCTATGCTGCCTTTTTTTTTTTGGATGTATTGGGGGATCTTCTGAGTGAGCGTGCGTATGAGTATAAAACTCACTATTGAAATTCTTATTGATGTGGTAATATTATCAGAGTAATTATGACATTCCACTTAAATTTACTTGAATTTAAAATGGCCCTTTTTATCTCTTTATCTTGTTAGTTCATGTCCCTGGTGTGATTTATCATATATTTGATGAATATAATCATTTATACTTCTAATATCTAGGAGTGGATGTCATGGCAAAAATAATATAAATAATTAAGATTAAGATTAAGTGACCCTTATTAGTCTCACAATGGGGAAATTTCACCTCCGTTTTTAACCCATTCGTGCAGTGAAATACCACATAAACACATACATACTAGTGAACACACACACTAGGGGGCAGTGAGCACACTTGCCCGGAGCCCTATCCGCAGCGCCCAGGGAGCAGTTGGGGGTTAGGTGCCTTGCTCAAGGGCACCTCAGTCACATCCTGTCAGCTCGGGGGATCGCACCGGCAACCTTCCAGTCGCAAGGCTGGTGCCCTAACCTCCATAATATATTAAAATTGTAATAGTCAAAATAGAACATATACTAAAATAACCTTACAATGACAATGACTTGTATTTATTGTTTCGCAAACTGCAATGCACTAAATTCTATTAAATAGGACTAATTATGCTCTCGTATGAAACGTGCAGTTAGTCATTGTTTTTATGTACTGACGATATGTATGATATGCTCAAGAAAGTGTATTGTGAAAGAATTGATCTTGATAACAATAAAATATCATCATATTGCACTCCCCTACTCATAACTTATAGTTTGTTAATGTGATTTCTAATGAATTAATAGTTGTATTTGCATTGATAAATGAGTTAATAGTTGTATTTGCATTAATAAATGGTATCATTGGTATCAGAATTATTAAATAATTGTTTCACAAAAATATCTGTGAAGTTTTTCACAAAAATATCTGTCCTTGATACTCATAGATCCGAAAATATGTAACTTGAAATATTAAGCATTTACTTAGTTGCAAAAAGAAAAACAATAATGATTGAGTGAATTGTCTCTGTCCTGTTAAAACAACTTTCACTTTGTGATAGTCTTTTCTTTAATGCTTAGCTAGTCCTCATGAAATTGATAAAGTATTCTAATTTCCAATATAGTTTGTACATATTAGCATGTTATAATACATACTACAGTACATATTAAATTGTATATATATATATATATATACCCAGATAGCAGGCACATTTGGGCCTAATCTGTGCCACTTTTGGCACTTACGGCTCAGTTACAGCACTGGCAAGTGTTGTGTTGGCCAGACGTGGGCCGAATGTCATGAGCCAGGCTTGACTTCAGTTGTGGCATCTGTTATGTGGGCCATATGTGGGCCAGATGTCATGAGCCAGGCTAGACTTGTATTACAACACTTGTTGCGTGGGCCAGAAACGGGCCAAATGTCATGACCCGGGTTAGACTTGGGTTACGGCACTTGTCGTGTGGGTCCGACATGGGCCAAATGTTGAGTCGGGCTAGAGCTGGGTTATGGCACATGTTGTGTGGGCCAAATGTCATGAGCACAGCTAGACTTGGGTTGTGGCATGTGTTGTGGGCCAGACATGGACCAGATATCCGAGTCTGGCTATACTTGGTGTTAAAGGTGATCGTACTTTTGCTGTCAGGGTACCACCTCACACAGAGGCAATCAGATTGTCCTCTCTGTGAACTTTGAAGTCCCATTTCAAAAATCAGTTTTATACAATGGCTTTCATCTGAGCAGATAGATTCTAGGCCAAATATGGCCCAGTTGAGAATGACATTATTTTAGATGTGCATATTGATTTGATCATTTCAGCTTAATAAATTGAAATAATTGGCAAAAAAGGAGTATTTGTTACAATGTAGAACAGTTCTATTACTAGGTTTTAGGTGGTTTGAGGCAGGATGAGGGTTAGGGGTGTTGTGCTATTAATGCAGGACTGCTAAATTGTTTTGGTGTTTATCTAACTCATCCAAGTGGACCTGTGATAAATTGTCCTGGTCCATATAACATGAACATGTGATCCATTTTTTGGGTCCTGAGCTGGCATCCAGCATGAACAAACTCTGAACTGAATTACTCTGACACTCTTTTGGTACATACCTGACCTGCAACATCCTGACTGGCACCTGACCGACCTTCAACGTTGAAATGTGGTTGAAATAATGTCAGCTGAAGTCAAAGTTAAAAGAGTAAGTTAGTCATCCTAACTTTATTAATGTTAACAATATTAATGTTGGGTCAGACTAATGTTTTGAACAGAAAATATGGGCTACATTTGGGCCAAAAATGTGTTTGGTGAGTAACACTTTCTATTTGTTATTGGTTTATTTGACGTACCAACAGTTTTCACCCAGGCATTTACTTGAACGTAGTCCTATAGCTAATTTGTTAATGTACATTTACTGATGTATTTACAGTGCTTTAGTTATTACTCATTAAGAAAATAGTTAATGATTAAATTGTAAGTAAAAGTGATATTATTAACTTTCATTAACAAATTATAACATAATGATTGAGTTGCTATTTACTGGGGCCCTTTATTAATATATTAAATATTATCAGAATGCATCTTGGCCCTTGCTGCCTCACTACAGAATCAAAATCAGAGTAAATCCAGGTATATTTTAATGAAAGTGTTATCTGCTATATTAATACACATATTAATGCTATATTAACACACTGCACATGTGTACATGATTTTGGTTTTTCAACACTACTGCATTTAACATGTATTTTAAGTTACACCTGACTAAACATCGTTTGCAGTATAACTTGAATCTGTATTACTCAAAATTACTGACGTGATGTGTGCAAAATGTCAGTGAGACCCCAGCAGCTGACCTCATCAGTAATGTGATGAATAATAGGAACTGTGAATCAGTTGTAGTTGTAAATCAACATTGAGTGTGAAAAGAAATCAGGTTACAAACATAGTGTACTTATTTCTAGATGTAAAGATAATGTAACACATTCCATTCTAAATCTCCTGATTTAAACTGTACCATGTGCTTTATGTACTCTGTTTTTACAGACTAGTTGGCTGTAATCTCACAACAGCATCTTGTGAAAAGCTATCATCAGCTCTACAATCAGTGAACTCCTCCCTGAAAGAGCTGGACCTCAGTAACAATGACCTGCAGGATTCAGGAGTGGAGCTGCTGTCTGCTGGACTGAAGAGTTCACACTGTAAACTGGAGACACTCAGGTGAGCTTTCTGTAAATTAGATCAGTAACACTGTGGAACATATATACTTTGTAAATGTTGATTTAAACATTCAAATCAACTTTGAGTGTGAAAAATGAATCAGTCTGAATAAACCTAATTCTCCTGACTGAAACCATAGCATGTGCTCTGTTTACTCTGTTTTTACAGATTAGTTATAGTGTCACAACACTATGTTGTGAAAAACCATCATCAGTTAGTTTTAGGTTAGTACAACTTGTTAACATGATTGTACAATTTAGGACCTGTTACTTCTGCAATTCCTAATTATAATTATTAATTATTTAGTAACAGCTTCAAATGATGTAATTAATGTAATATAATTTGTAAGTAAATACAACTTGCAATGGTATTACCACATCATTACACACTTATTACCAATCTACTATACTACCAATAATTGTGCATATTAATATGGGCAAATTGCAAATCCTCCTTACAAATAATCATACAAGCTCCTTGTGCACTTCAGAGGAATATGGAGATGACAGGTCTAGGTTCAAAACACATGAAAGTCATGCTCTCCTACCACACAATCCCACATTTCATACAAGCCTTCACATCACGACAGCGTGCAACACAGCCAAGTAGCCATGAGAGTCAGACACATCAGCGTGTTCACTTTACTCAAATAGTGTCTGTAGTGGCCAGAATAAAATCAGCTGGCACTGTGGCCTATACAATTTTTAAAAATCGTAACTTTTATCAGGGCATTACTCGAAAACGAAGTCCTCTGTAAATTTATAGCTGGACCACCAACAGGGTAGGGATAGCTACTGAAAAATTAGTAGTTAGCTACTTTGTAGCTACTTTCCCAAAATTTGTAGCTAGCTACAATTTAGCTGCTTTTCCAGAAAAAGTAGTGGCTGTTTTTTAGCTACTTTTGAAAAGTAGTGCACTACTTTTTAGCTACTTTCAAAGCATGATTGTCAGTGTTTGTAAATCTCCACCTGACACATCAAACAAGCCCAACTGACAGTGTGAAAAAGACACTGCATTTAATCATGTGCCAGAAAGAAACATACATTTGAAAAGCTGCAAATATACAAAAAGACCACCAAAAAGTGAGTTTAAGTGTAACCAACAATCAAACTTACACAACCAAAGCATGATATCCAACAAAAATTCAGACTAACTAAAGGCAAAGTCAATCATTCCAGGTTTTTCCTAACAAAAATCAACAAAAATAACCGTGATGTCCTCAGTGATGCTGGTTCTGTTTGGGGTGAGAATCAGGCCTGAATAATCTCTCCACTGCTGCAGAGCTGCTGTGGCTCCACAGCAGAACTAAATTTTTAGGTAAAATAACATAATCCTCCTAACACACAGTTCTAACACAGTTTTCACAATAAATGGTCTTAAACACTGGAGTTACCACATAACTGCTAAGATTAACATGCAGACTGCTAAGTCGTGAAGCTGAAGTCTTCTGTTTTGCCAGCTTCTTGATTGAATTGTCCCATTCCTAAAGTGTCGCAGCATTACATTCTGGTACCTCAGGCACCATTTAAGGAATGGGATAATTCGAACAAGAAGCTGGTGAATGAGAAACTGAGTCAAGCTTCATAAGAAGTCAAACTTTGAGGGACATTTTTACAAGAAACTTTTGTGGAAATGTTTTCTGATTGAGATGTGAGTGAGAAAAGCAGCTATAATTGACCTGAAGGTTAAGCAGAACAAAGTATGTCTGTGTTTTCATTTATATTATTTTTAGTCTGTACTAGCCCATCAGCACATACTCAGACATACTTTATTTTGTAAAAATTGTAAATTAATTTCTTGATTGACAGAAAAGATTATATTAGAGGTGTGCATTTGAAAACTAGAGTAGGGTTATTAAGCAGGGCTAAATAACTAAAAAATAGTATTAAACAGGTGTGTAAATTAACCCAGATAATGTCGTATGTGCCATAATATGTTTATAGCCTCTAAACTGATGGTTGTCCATGTGGTACATAGAAAACAAAGTGGGATTTGTAGACAATTGATCTACAGTATGCCTGATCTTTTGAGTTAGGACAGTATCCACCCCTCCTTGGAGGATGCTGCTCTCATTTATCATAACACAGCACCTATTCTTTTCAGTAGCCATCAGTCTGGGACAGTCAGTCACAGTCACAAACCAGAGCCAAAGCCAGGCAGCAGACAGACTGTCTAAACTGACCGTCTGCTAGCTGCCTTGAGACGTCACATAGGTCCCATTCAGCTGAGACTGTGTCTGTTTCCTGAATCAAATTAAATTTCAGAAAAGTTTGGTCTATTAATCGAGCCAATATCAGATTAGTTAAAAAACTGCAGTAACAGCACCTTCAATCTAAAACTAGGACTGCTTAACAATAGATCTCTTAAATCTAAGGCCAGTGTTGCAAATTAAATAATTACTGATCATGATTTTGATGCTCTATGCCTCACAGAAATGTGGATTATCTAAATAGTTCTTTTCAGTGAAATGCTGGTTTTCTTTTTTCCTTTTCCCGATTTTCAATATTGTAAATTATTGTAAAATCTTATTCTCTGTTCATATTGCTCTTTTTGTGTTATTATTTTGCTATCCAGAGTGGACAAGAGGTGGATGGGTTCCCCTTTTGTATCCTGGTTCCTCTCAAGGTTTCTTCCTCTTGCTCTTAGGGACTTTTTTTCTTGCCACTGTCGACTTGTTGATATATTGTAAAATGTAAATTGTGTGTTATTCCGTCCTGTTCAATATCAGAACGTTGGTGTATGTTTCACATAATTTGGCACTTACTGTGTTTGTTCTGTACTGCAGTTGGTGTATAGCTGTATGTAAATACCATCTGTCCCTCTTTTTCCTTTCTTTCTGCATATTATCTGGTTGTATGATAACAGGTAAAGGCTGTTATTCTCTGGCTTCAGCTTTGAAATCAAACCCTTCCCACCTGAGAGAACTGGATCTCACCTATAATTATCCAGGAGAGTCTGGAGTAGAGCTATTCTCTGACCTACTGGAGGATCCACACTGCACACTGGAGAAACTACAGTGAGTTAAATTTCTGCCTATAAGTATACATATTACACATGTCTGACTGTAATGTTGTACTGTAGATGTGTTGGTTTTCATGGTGAGGTGGTGAATTGTTGTTCTGAACATGGCTGTAAATATTATGAGGACACTGAGTTCCAATGCTCAGTATTTTTGGAAAGGTTTTATGAGATTCATTATGGAAACACTGACAAGACTACACAATCAGCAGTGACTGATTTTCAGCTTCAGTCTTAAGATCAATTAAAAAATATAAACTCTACGCTTCACAAAAAATTAACAATATAAATGTGTGGGAGCTGTTCTCCAGCATCAATGCTAGTCTGACTAACATCCTCCTGTCTCCCTCCACCTGCACTGGGTCTGGGAGGCTTCTCAGGACAGAGCTGGCTCTCTTAATGAGTCTGTCAAGTCTCTTCCTGTCCGCAGTTGAGATGCTGCTACCCCAGCAGACCACTCCATAAAAGATGGCTGATGCCACAATGGTATCAAATGAGGTCTTCAGGAGTGCCCCCGGCACTCCAAATTACCTCAGTCTCCTAAGCAGGTAGAATCTGCTCTGGCCTTTCCTTCAAAGTGCACTAGTGTTTTTTGACCAGTCCAGTCTATTGTTAAGGTGACAACCCAGGTACTTATAAGATTCCACTCTGTCAGTGTCCCTTCACTGGATGTTCACTGCTGGAGGGAGATGACTGCACCTTTGAAAATCCACCACCATCTCTTTGGTCTTCCCCACATTGATTAGGAGGTGGTACATCAGAGACCAGTCCATAAAATCCTTAATCAGTTCTCTGTACTCTCTGTCCTCCTCATCTGTAATGAGTCAGATGATTGCTGAGTCATCAGAGGTTTTCTGTAGATGGCAGTTTGGTGAACTGTACTTTAAGTCTGCAGTGTACAGGGTGAAGAGGAACAGTGCCAGGTTCCCTGTGGGGCCCCTATGCTGCTGAACACCATGTCAGACATACAGTCCCATGCCCTCACATACTGTGGTCGGTTGGTGAGATAGTCCGGAATCCAATGTGATAGGTGGTGATCCACCCCTGTGTTCTCCAGCTTGTCAATCAGGAGTCTAGGCTGTATGGTGTTAAAAGCACCAGAGAAATCAAAGAACATGTTCTCCCAGTGCTCCCAGGCTTCTCCAGGTAAAGAAAGAGCTCTGTGTAACAGGTAGATAACCTGTTGCTGGCTTTTCCTTCCCTGATTTTTCTTCTCAGTTCCCTCTGCTTGTCCACACTGTTCTGCCCACATTGTTATGTCTCCCCAGACCATTTCTTCACTGTGCAGGTGACAGCTGGCTCCCTTTGTACAAGTGGTTTGTACACAGGCAGAAGACACACCAGGTTATGATGTGATCTTCCAAGGGGAGGGAGGAGCAGTCAGTTATACGCCTCCTTGGTGTTGGCCTAAAACAGATCCAGTATTGTATTGCCTCCGGTGTGACAGGTTACATACTGTGACAGGTTACATACTGTGAAGTTCGTCAGAGTGGAGGATGGAGAAACATGGTTAAAGTCCCCAGAGATCACAATGAGGGCCTGTTGGTTTTGTGTCTGCAGCCTGCTCACAGCTGCAGGCAGGGTGTCACAGGCAGCATCAGCGTTAGCAGAGGGGGAACATATGCAGCTAATGCAATAACATGCGAGAATTCCCTTGGTAGGTAGAACGACCTTATGCTAATGGATAACAGTTTAATGTCCTTACAGCAGATTTGCTCCTTAATAGTGATAGACAGTTACACAATGTATTATTCACAAATACTGCCAGCCCTCCTCCTTTCCTCTTACCGCTCTCCAATGTCATGTCCACCTGTATGAGCTGGAAGCCGTCCAAAGTGACGACTGTGTCAGGAGTCTAAGTAAGTTATAGCATTCCATAATCCATGTATTCACAATAGATTCGCACCTTCTTACACAAATCTGAAGCTGGCTTTCTATTCACTGGCTCTTTCTTCAAATTTTCCTGTTACACCTAAATGGTGCAGCAGCCAGCTTCTTGTTCAAATTTTCCCATCACACCTTAAATGATGCACCCTCAGGCACCAGACTGCTGCAACCATTTAAGGTGGAATGGGAAACTTCAAACAAGAAGCTGGTGAATAGGAATCTGACTTCAGCCTTGTCCTTCTTCTTGTGTTTTCCTTTTTTTCATTTTTATATGTAATAAGATAAGAACTCGTCATATCTTACACTTGTATTAACAATTGGATCTTGACCACTCCAACATGGTGGACACATAGACATGTTGCCTCAGATAAAGAACAACAGAGAACATTGCATCTATGTACGTATACTTATTGTTGTACTGAGAGCAGCGTTGCACTGGCATGTCCAACATTTTTACCAATGTCTGTTGTATTACTTTAAAATGATTCACGTGACATGTATTTAGGTTTGTGTTGCTGTGTAAAACTATATAGTTGTTATTTCATATAATTGTTGAATGAAGCTGTACTAGCTTCAAGGATTAAAACTGCTAGTGCTAACTAGCCTAGCAGTGTGATCTGAAGCTAACAAGCCTACCAGTGTGTTCTGAGGCTAAGTAGCATAACAGTGTGATCTGAAGCTGAGTAGCCGAGCAGTATTATCTATATATAACTAGATTGGCAGTATTATCAAAAGGTAACTAACCTATCAGGGTAATCTAACTAGGCCAGCAGGTATATCTATAGATAACTAGCGTAACAGTGTGAGCTGAAGCTAAGTAGCCAAGCAGTATTATCTATATATATAACTAGCCTTACAGTGTGATCTGAGGCTAAGTAGCCTAGCAGTGATATCTATAGATAACTAGCCTAGCAGTGTGAGCTAAAGCTAACTAGCCTAGCAGTATTATCTATAGATAATTAGCTTAACAGTGTGATCCAAAGCTAACAAGACTTGTAGTATTATCTAAATGTACCCAGCCTAACAGTATGATCTGAAGCTCACTGGCCTAGCAGTGTGATCAGAAAGTAACAAGCCTAGCACTATTATCTACAAATATCTAGCCCAATAGTGGGATCTGAAGCTAACTGCAGTATTGTCTATGAATAATTAGACGTATGGTGTGATCTGAGGCTAAATAGCCTAGCAGAGTGATTTAGTGATTTAGAGATAACCAGTGTTCTGTAAACTGGTAATGGAACTAAAGCGCTGAAATATCTAATGTTAGTACACTGTATTAATGTTAAGGTAGTGATTTGGATATGATAATGATAATAATAATAATGATAATAATAATAAGAAGAAGAAGAAGAAGAAGAAGAAAAATAAACAGTCAGTACAGAGAGTCCATATGATATTTGGTCCAAAACTACTACTAATAATAATAATTAGTCTAATGCTAAACAGTGATTTTAGTTTTATCTGGACTGTAAGGTCTGAAGGGTGTTTTATACTGTAATGATCTGTTTTAGTCTTTATTTTAGTTTTATCTGGACTGTAAGGTCTGAAGGGTGTTTTATACTGTAATGATCTGTTTTAGTCTTTATTTTAGTTTTATCTGGACTGTAAGGTCTGAAGGGTGTTTTATACTGTAATGATCTGTTTCATTCTTTATTTTATTTTAGTTTTGATTCTATATGAAGTTTAGTGAATGCATAAATGTGTGTGTTTGTTCTTCAGGGTGGATCATGGAGGGAAGATCAGGATGAAACCACGACTGAAAAAATGTAACTTACACACACAAATCAATACACATACAAACACTATACAAACACACAGTCACAAACAGACAAACATACTATATACCCACACTATACACATAATACACACACACACAGACAGTACATGCAAACATACACTGATCAGGCATAACATTATGACCACCTCCTTGTTTCTACGCTCATTGTCCATTTTATCAGCTCCACTTACTATATAGGTGGACTTTGTAGTTCTACAGTTATAGACTGTAGTCCATCTGTTTCTCTGCATACTTTGTTAGCCCCCTTTTACCCTGTTCTTCAGTGGACAGGACCCCCATGAACCCCCACAGAGCAGATACTATTAGGGTGGTGGATCATTCTCAGCACTGCAGTAACACTGATGTGGTGGTGGTGTGTTAGTGTGTGTTGCGCTGGTCTGAGTGGATCAGACACAGCAGTGCTGCTGGAGTTTTTCAACACCTCAGTGTCACTGCTGGACTGAGAATAGTCCACCAACCAAAAATATCCAGCCAACAGTGTCCTGTGGGCAGCATCCTGTGACCACTGATGAAGGACTAGAGGATGACCAACACAAACTGTGCAGCAGCAGATGAGATAGCGTCTCTGACTTGACATCTACAAGGTGGACTGACAAGGTAGGAGTGTCTAATAGAGTGGACAGTGAGTGGACAGTGTTTAAAAACTCCAGCAGCATGGCTGTGTCTGATCGACTCGTACCAGCACAACACACACTAACACACCACCACAACGTCAGTGTTACTGCAGTGCTGAGAATGATCCACCACCCAAATAGTACCTAGTCTGTAATTGCAGAACTACAAAGTGCACCTATATAGTAAGTGGAGCTGATAAACTGGACAATGAGCGTAGAAACAAGGAGGTGGTCATAGTATTATGCCTGATCAGTGTATATACACACACTCTATATGCAAACACTATAAATACATCACACACATGCTACATGCAAAAATACACACCCACAAGTACACTGATTTGTACTCCCTTGATCTGTGTGTGTGTTTGTGTGTGTGTGTGTGTACAGATGCTGTTGATCTCACTCTGGATCCAAACACAGTGAACAGTCATCTCTCTCTGTCTGAGAGGAACAGAAAGGTGGAGAATGTGGGAGAAGATCAGTCGTATCCAGATCATCCAGACAGATTTGATGGCTGGTATCAGGTTCTGAGTGTGGAGAGTCTGACTGGACGCTGTTACTGGGAGGTTCAGTGGAGCGGAGACGGAGCTGATATATCAGTATCATACAGAGGAATCAGGAGGAAAGGAGACAGTTATGACTGTGGGTTTGGATACAATAATCAGTCATGGAGTCTGAACTGCTATAATAACAGATACTCTGTCAGACACAATAATCAGAGAACAGTCCTACCTGCCCCCCCCCTTGCCTTCTAACAGAGTAGGAGTGTATCTGGACTGGGGGTCCGGCACTCTGTCCTTCTACACCATCTCCCCTAACACAGACACACTGACCCACTTACACACATTCACCACCACATTCACTGAACCGCTCTACGCTGGATTTTATATTTATAAAACCTCCTCAATGAGTCTATGTGAAATAGAATAACCTCTACACACAGAGAGAGAGAGTGAGAGAGAGAGGCAGAGACACAGAGAGAGATGGAGAGCAGGTTGAAAAAAGCTTATCAGTTTATCAATTTGATCTCACACTGAAAATAAGAGAGGAATCAAACCTATTTGTCTTTTAAATAAAAACAGTATAAAAATAACTGTTTTCTCTGTTTTCTCTGTCCAGAAAAAGATTCACTAAACAGAACTCTTATTCCATTATTCTTATTTCTGAGTTTGTTGCTATTTTTCTCAGACAAATTAATTTATCTAAATATCAGAAGGCCATTAGATATTGGATCAATACTTCTTTGTTGTCCAATCCATTGTTTACTTCTCAGCTGAAAACCAAACTGAAAGAGATTCTCAAGCTGAATTTGGAAAGCGGTTAAAATCCACAGACTATGGGGGAAAGTACAGAATATTTTATTGGAGGTTAATGTGTTTTATTTTCATCATATCATAAAACTTTACATAATATAAGATTTTCTGAACTAGAAGATGAAATCAAGACTTTAGAATGTAAACAAATGTCCAGTTTGTCTGAAGTCAGGGCTCGTCTGATTAATACACTAAGAAGAGAGAACAATACACGACCATGACATAAAGCAGAGTTTATTTTACAGCGTATCACGCAGTTCTACTGTGCTGATGGGGAAAGACTCTTACACAAACATAATGAACCCAAAGCTAATATCACTGCAGTTAAGAGTAAAGATGGGCAAGTAGTTACAAACCCACAACTAGTGAATGAGGTTTTTAAGCAGTTTCATTCTGACCTGTACAGCTCTGAGATTAAGGCTGATACCAGACAATGTAGAGAATTCTTACACAGTCTGGACTGACCCTGATTGTCTTTACAACATAGCCCATCTTTAGGTGATTAGTAGTTTCCACTGTGATCAAAGTACATCTCTCATTTATTGTTAAAAAGAGGAAGAACCCAATGGAGTGATTGAGATATAGGATGGTAAATTTAATCTGTACTTAAAAATATACACTAAAATTGTACCTCATGACTAGAGCGGGTTGTAGATAGAGTGATTCATTATGACTGAGCCAGATTCATCAAGGACACTTAGCATCAGATAATATTCAAAGATTCTCACACATAATAAACACAGCAGCAACACTCCTGTGCGCTCCTGTCGTTAGATGTGGAAAAAGCCTTCGACAGGCTAGAATGGCAGTATTTGTGGTCAGTCTTGGAGCAGTTTGGATTTGGGGAAAGTTGTGTTTCTTCAGTTAAAATTCTTTATGCAGCAATTGCCTGTGTAATGACCGGTACTGTCCGATCCTCTCCATTTCCATTATGCTGTTCTACTAGACAAGGATGCCTGTTATCATCCTCACCTGCTTTAACAATGGAGCTGCTTAATTTCTAGGTTAATTTCCCCCATTACTATTGATAAACACAGACATTGTGGTTCCCTCTATACCAACAATGTTTTACAACCCCATTTCCAAAAAGGTTGGGATGCTGTGCAGAATGTAAATAAAAATAGAATGTAATTATATGCAAATGATGGAAAATACTACAACGACAACATATCAGATGTTGAAATTGAGACATTTTATTGTTTTTTAAAAAATATATGCCCATTTTGAAATTGATGCCAACAACACATTCCAAAAAAGTTGAGACAGGGGTCTGTTTACCACTGTGCGTTTGGGAACTGAGAAGACACTGCTGTAGTTTTGAAAGGGAAATGTTTTCCTGTTCTTCTTTGATATAGGATTTCAGCTGCTCAACAGTCCAGGGTCTCTTTTGTAGTATTTTTCATTTCATAATGTGCCAAATTTTAACAGTGGTGACAGGTCTGGACTGCAGGTGGGTCAGTTTAGAACCCAGACTCTTTTACTATGGAGCAATGCTGTTGTAATACATGCAGAATGTGGTTTTACATTGTCTTGCTGAAATAATCAAGGCCTTCCCTGAAAAAGACGTCATCTGGATGGCAGCATATGTTGCCAAAACATGTATATATCGTTCAGCATTAATAGTGCCTTCACAGATGTGCCTCACCCATGCCATGTGCACTAATGCCCCCCTATACCATCATGAATACTGGTTTTTGAACTATGCACTGTTAACAAGCTGAGTGGTCTTTAGCCCGGAGGACACAGTGTCCATGATTTCCAAAAAGAATTTCAAATGTTGATTCGTCAGACCACAGGACACTTTTCCACTTCCCCTCAGTCCATTTTAAATGAGTTCGGGCCCAGAGAAAGTGGTAGTGTTTCTGGCTCATGTTCATATATGATTTCTTCTTTGTGTTTTAGAGTTTTAACTTGTATTTGTGGATGCAGTGATGAACTGTGTTCACAGACAGTGGTTCTCTGAAGTGTTTCTGAGCCCATGTAGTGATATCCTCTACAGAATCATGTCTGTTTTTAATGTAGTGCCACCTGAGGGCCCAAAGATCACAGCCAGCAATTACTAGTTTTTGGTCTTGTCCCTTACATACAGAGATTTCTCCAGATTCTTTGAATCTTTTAATGTTATTATGTACCGTAGATGATGAAAAGCACAAGTTCTTTGCTATTGTTCTTTGCTATGTTCAGTAACGTTGAATTGTTGAACTTGGATGGTGCAGTCTTTCACAGAGTGGGTGAACCCCTCTTCATCTTTACTTCTGAAAGACTCAGCCTCTCTGAGATGCTCTTTTATACCCAGTCATTTTACTGACCTGTTGCCAATTGACCTTAGGGTGTTTTTGTTTTTTTTAGCATTACACAACTTTATCAGCCTTTTGTTGCCCCCGTCCCAATGTTCCAATGTTGTTGGCATCAAATTCAAAATGGGCAAAAAAATTCTCAGTTTCAACCTTTGAAATGCTGTGTTTGTACTATTTTCAATTAAATATAGGGTTTAAATGATTTGCACATCATTGCATTTTGTTTTCATTTACATTTTGCACAGCGTCACAGCTTGTGTCCACTGTGTCCACTCACAACGTTATAACATAATTTTAAACATTGATGATTGGTGTTAACGTCACTGACTGTAGGTCTATGCCTGATCAGCCTTTCTTGTGAAACTGCCAGGCTGCGCAAGGGCCAATCAAAGTCTGTATAAGCTTGGACTGAAATGACATCTGCTGAGGAAGATTTCTGTTCTGCTACCCCTCGTCATTCAGAATGCTTTAATTTGAAATGCGCCGTTCTGGCGAAACTTACTGACGCACATTTCTTTACAGTGGTGGTGATAGGAGCCAGGGGTTGCCATGACTACAACAGAAATACAGGGTGTACCTACACAAGTTCTTACATGGGATGTTTATTATGATAGAATAGGGGAAAATTTGAAAGTCAACCATTTCATGTAGTAATTTTCTGTGAGGGAGCCTTTAGAGGTGGACGTCTGGTTTCTATCACCACCACTGTGATAAGTGGTCACACCAAACCACTCTGAATCACTCTGTTTGCATCTTAACCATTTAATTATGGGGGATCTTTGAAAAACCAGTGGAATTAGTCTTTAAATATTTTGAATAATTAAATCAGTTTTTAATATTAGAAAGCTGAACTGAATACATAGAATGTCAAACACTCATCAGTTTATTATATGCTTAATTTTAGAGTATGAAATTAAATACAGCAGCTTTTAAATAGCTAGTTCAAAACACAGATAAAGAGAGAAAAAAAGATCAACAGGACAAAAACAGCATTTAAAAATTCAAAATAAGAGAATTAAAGGGCAAATCTGAGCTATAAAAATAAGGATGAAACACAGATCAATGAGCAATATTTTTCAAGCCCCAAGAAGCTGCACCTATTTATAAAAGATTAAAAAATCTTAGAATTTTCTCACTAATATCATCAATACTGATATTCTCATCCTGTACATGATTGAAGATGAGCTGACTCAGTCTCACATCTTCATCCTGAACCTTCTCAGCTGTAAAAAAGGGAAGACAAAGATGAGTCAATCAGAAATGTATAGTTCCAGTTTCATTTATTTCTGTTATTAATTTAATAATAACTGCTTTCCTATTAAAACCCCAATCAGGACAGCTGAGCATATTTAAAACCATTATTTACAGTCCTCATTATAAATAACCAGCAGAAGCATCACTAAATGTTATTTAGTCACGATTTATTGAGGATACAGGTTTAATCTGCCATTCTCTTTAAGCTCTATTTTACCAAATTTTTTGAGCAATGTGTCAAAATAGAAGCCATATCACCCCCTACACTTCCTGTAGTGTATTACAGACTGTCAGAGTGACTGTGTGGATCATATGAACATTATAGAGCTTTTTAAATGAAACAGTAGAAGCCATATCGCCCCCTACACTTCCTGTAGTGTATTACAGACTGTCAGAGTGACTGTGTGGATCATATGAACATTATAGAGCTTTTTAAATGAAACAGTAGAGGCCATATCGCCCCCCAACCCTTCCTGTAGTGTATTACAGTCTGTCAGAGTGACTGTGTGGATCATATGAACATTATAGAACTTTTTAAATGAAGCAGTAGAAGCCATATCGCCCCCTACACTTCCTGTAGTGTATTACAGTCTGTCAGAATGACTGTGTGGATCATATGAACATTATAGAGGCTTTTTAAATGAAACAGTAGAGGCCATATCGCCCCCTTCACTTCCTGTAGTGTATTACAGTCTGTCAGAATGACTGTGTGGATCATATGAACATTATAGAGGCTTTTTAAATGAAACAGTAGAAGCCATATCGCCCCCTACACTTCCTGTAGTGTATTACAGTCTGTCAGAGTGACTGTGTGGATCATATGAACATTATAGAGGCTTTTTTAAATGAAACAGTAGAAGCCATATCACCCCCTACACTTCCTGTAGTGTATTACAGTCTGTCAGAATGACTGTGTGGATCATATGAACATTATAGAGGCTTTTTTAAATGAAACAGTAGAAGCCATATCGCCCCCTACACTTCCTGTAGTGTATTACAGCCTGTCAGAGTGACTGTGTGGATCATATGAACATTATATAGCTTTTTAAATGAAACAGTAGAAGCCATATCGCCCCCTACACTTAAAAACACAACTTCCTTGTCTGGTTTTGCTTCCGCAGTTACACAGATGTAGAAAATCAGATTAACAGTTTGCATCATCTGAAAAAACAGATTATTGTGACAACAATGATCCACGTTTACGTGACACATAATCAGATAACTAATCATATAAATCACATTACCAACCAAGAGACTGTTTACCTGAAAGTCCCAGCAGCAGAACCAGCACTGACAGCCTGGAGCTCCATCTGGATGATTCTGTCTGTGTTGCAGGACATCTCTCTCAGTCCTTTCTGCAACTATCTTAAATATCCTTTCTGTTTGTCTGTATTTTGGCCAAGGCAAACATCAGCAAACGCTGCAACAGCACCCGCAAGTCACCCACCAGCACCGCACTCCTGGGCCGCAGCGCTGACTCCATGAAGAGGCCCAACTCTTTAGTTAAGACACGTTGTACCACTTGGGTCATCAGGAGCACATGAAGATAGAGAACTCTGAAAATGTACTATTACTATTTCCCCCTTCAGTTCTTCCTGTAGTTGACATTGGAGCTTTTGGGTTGATAAAATGCAATTTATAGGATTAGTAATGAGATTGTGGTCACATAAACACAGATTAAAGACAAATGTCAAGAAATTAATTTTTAGCTCAAATCTGTTTTTGTAGATAATGGACTCTGTTAATCTGGTTTTCTACAACCTGTACAGAAACAAAACCACAGACAACGGCAATATTAATAATAATAATAATAATAATAATAATAAAATAGTTATGTTTATACATTTGTAATTGTTTTAAGTTTTGGCTGCAGGATATGTTTTTGCAGAAGCTCAGTATGGGTTTCTGTTCAGGTGTAAAAAATGCTGAACGATTTTTTAGTGTGTGTGCGTGTGTGTGTGTGCGTGTGTGTGTGTAAGTGTGTATATGTGTGTGGCTACGAGCTGGTTCTGTGTGGGAGTGGAGTTCAAGCTGGAACACGTTGCTGATGATTGGATGTGTATTGCAGAGCTCCAGTTGCAGAACAAAGCCTGTTCATGTCACCTGAAGAACAGCTACACTCTGAGGTCCAGGTTTTTCATGCATTTTGTTCCACACTAAAGAAGGGAAAGCTAAAAAAAGTGGTTTAATCAGAATGTTTTTCACCATTTTCATTTCATTTTCATATAAAAATAATTGGAATGGGAAAACGGGTTGCAAATTTAGAGCACCCTTGACAGGGTGAACACATACAGACATTTTATGTGTTTTTGTGATCATTTAAATGCTCATTTTAATAATTTTAAATTAATTTATAGATCCTTTCACTTTTACAGAAAAAAACAACAGTCACTTTATAGCTTTTAAAAAAGTTAATGGGATGTAAATTGAACTCTGTTTGGGGAATGTCCCATATGTGTACAGTTTTCATGGGTGTTTAATTGATAGATTTAAAAGAGCTGCGTTGGCCGGGAATCGAACCCGGGTCAACTGCTTGGAAGGCAGCTATGCTCACCACTATACCACCAACGCTGGAGAACATCTGGAGCAGAAAAGCCTCACAGTCACGAGGGAACCATCTACTGCATTCCACACTAACCCACTAACTCTGAATAAACACACTCTAGCGGCTGATCCAGGTACTGCACTAATCCTGCACTGCTGGCTGCAGTTTCAGATCATTTTCTGAGCCGTTCTCAGCTCTGAGTGCAGCTCAGAAAGGAGCAAATCACTGTATCACCTGTGTAGAAGAACCTAGAACACCCAGAACGTTCTGCTGAGTCTGTGTTGAAGAAGCAGCTCCATCTTTCAGTTAAAGCTAAATTAAACTCTGATTTAGTCCAGTAGGTTTTTGATGCTGGACACAGATGGATTTTTCTCTCTACAGCTGCAGATTCAGCAGCTCCATGCAGCTCCGCATCCACCACATTTTACTGTGAGGAACCCAAATCCCTACTTACGCTGGGGTGAATGTAGAAAAACTACATTTCCCGAAATGCCTCGGCGGCTGTCTCCATGGTAACCGGCTGTGTTGTGATGCGACTGGCTCCGCCTTTATTCTGCCGAGGCTGTAAAGGTAGTGATTATACAGTGCCGTAAATCCAGTTTTAGTGATTATTAATGTGTTTATTCTGTGTTTATCATTTTAAAATCGTTATTAGAGATGATTAAGGAGCCTCTGCAGAGTTTTAATGAGGTCCTAATCCAGCATTAAAGCAGTTTAGCCCAGTAAGTAGAACTGAAAGCTGAAAGTCTGTGTGTTTGGTGTGTGCAGTTTCAGGGGGGAAATGTTCGGAGCTCCGCTGGATTTCTCTTTTAAATGTCTCAGCTCAGTGTCAGGTGAGAAACCACACCGAATCCTAAGATCAGTAAATGCCTGATCAGCCCAGATCTGCTCCTGAATGATGGAGTTTAAACTCAGTTTGGTTTCTTGTGTATTCTGTGTAATCTGGTTATTCTCAGTCTCAGCCAATCAGAGCGAAGCTCATTAATATTAATGAGGCACTCGCTCAAAAACAGCTTTTGTTTTACAAAACGTTTTCTCAGTAGGTCAATCTGAGCATATCTCATTAATATCAATGAGCTATAAAGGTACAGCAAAGGAGACGCTTGTAAACGAAGGCATAGACTGTTTTTATCACATGAAGTCATATAAACACATTTGACAGACAGAATAAAACACTAGAAAAGAGTAGAGAAAGTTACTAACTTGTATTGTATAACTGTATCATTTACTCCTGTATTACTGTAACATCAGCTGTGGTGTTGGTGGGGATCAGTGCAGGATTAGAGCAGTACCTGGATCAGCCGCTAGAGGGAGACAGTGTAGCGTGTGTTTATTCAGAGATAATGGGTTAGTGAGGAATGCAGTTGATGGTTCCCTCGGGACTGTGAGGCTTTTCTCCTCCAGATGTTCTCCAGCGTTGGTGGTATAGTGGTGAGCATAGCTGCCTTCCAAGCAGTTGACCCGGGTTCGATTCCCGGCCAACGCAGCTCTTTTAAATCTTCACCAATAAATATCAATGAAAACTCTACGCTTCTGGCACGTTCCATGAATAAAGTTAAATTTACGTCCCATTACCTTTTTAAAAGCAATAAAGTGAATGTTTTTTTTTTTACTTATAAAATAAACACCAACAAAAAAGTCTACACATGTTTGGTGTCAATAACGTAGTCTATCTATCTATTGTAACATCAGCTGTGGCCTTATTGGAGATCAGTGTTGTACCAGATTGAGCCGCTAGAGACCTTTCCTTCCTGATGTCTACAGTTGTTTTCCAGCGTTGGTGGTATAGTGGTTAGCATAGCTGCCTTCCAAGCAGTTGACCCGGGTTCGATTCCCGGCCAACGCAGCTCTTTTAAACATGTAATTTCGAGACAAACAAAACCTGTAAACATCTGTAAGCCTGTCACTCTGGATTAAAGTACAGAGTTATAGTACATTTCTGCCCATCAGCTGTTTGTAAATGTCTGAAATGTGAGTTTAGATCAGAAAAGCTCAGAGGCAGATCCTGTCTTGGTTTACGCTGAAGTCGGTGGGACATCAGAATCAGAATCAGAATCAAGCTTTATTGGCCAGTTATGCTTACGCATACAAGGAATTTGGTTTTGGTTAGAGGAGCTCACAGTGCACAGTATCAGACAGACATATACATGTAGTGAATAAAATAAAATAAATATAAAATATAACAAAATAAAATAAAACATGCATTCCTACCATCACTCACTCATACATACAGTGATATTAGAACATAGTGTGTGTCAGATTGACAATGTTCATATTGGAAAGTGCAGTAATTAAAGGCAGATTTATCCAATTTTTCAAAATTTCTGCAAAATTATAGGGTTAAGATGTAATCCAGAGTGGTTTGATGTAACGTTCTAGATAAACTTATGAGTCAGAATTGTTCACAGTGATGGTGATAGGAACCAGACGTCCACCTCTAAAAGTTCCCTCACAGAAAGTTACTACATGAAATGGTTATGAATTTCAGATTTTCCACTATTTTCCATCATCAACATTCCATATAAACTCAGAAGACTCGTGTAGGTTCACTGGTGGTTCTGGATAGTAAATAAAATGTCTATGTTTGTGTTGTAGTCATGGCGACCCCTGGTTCCTATCACCGCCACTGTAAAGACATCTGAACCATTTCACACCAAACCCCTCTGAATCACTCTGTTTACATCTCACACACTGAGTTATGGGGGATTTTGAAAGATTGATGGATTTCCCCTTGAAATAAGGAAAGACTAGAAGTACTAAGTTCATTTCCTGTATTATTGCTTCTCCTCCTCTGTCAGATGTTGTGTCAGAGGAGCCGAACGTGTCCGTGCGTCCACTCAGAAGGAATTCTGAGGGGAAGTTCAGCAGCAGATCTCTCCGCCTCAACAATAACATCATCAGTGACCTGCAGGGCCTGACCGAGACACTGTCCGCTCTCTTCACCGAGCCCAAACGCCTCGCCTGGCTTGACCTGTCCTTCAACGACCTCTCTCACATACACCCGGTACACACCTGCCTCTAACAAATCAACTTCTCCCAGTTTTCCTCAAATGTAGTCGATCAGCCAAGACAGGTTTGGTGTTTGAAGTTTAGTTTTAAAACTGGATCTTCCACATTAGGTGGGGCTTCCACATTACCTACTGCAGCAGTTGGCAACGTGTGGCTCCAAAGCCACATGCGGCTCTTTTACTGTCCTGTTGTGGCTCAACAGCAGAATCAGATTTGTAGGTAAAAATAAAATAATCCTCCTTTACAGTAAAATAAAGCTCTGCTGATCGTTCAACACAGTTTAACAATAAATGGTCTTAAACTCTGGAGTTAATGTAGAACTGCTAATTCACCCTTTAACCCTGAAGATCAGCACAGACTGCTGGTCACCATAGCACCAAAGACAACAGTCTCGCCTAGCTAGTAGCTAACGAAACGGCAAAGAGAGAGATTTAAGACGAACATCGATAAATTGGAGATGAATGGACTTATTACGTTTATAATCACTCCAGCTGGTTTCCTGATACGTTTAATCTGCAACAAGAAACTGTCAAACATCAAAAATCAAACATTGAGAGACATTTTACAAAAAACCTTCCACTTTTGCGGAAAAGTTTCCTGCTGGAGATGCGAGAAAAGCGGCTGTAGCTGTACTAAAGCTTAAAGCAGAGCAAAGTAAGTGTGTTTCGTTTTTATTACTTTTAGTCTACACTACAACATTGGAACATACTGAGACATATTTACAGCCAAGATGTTAAAACATTACACCAGTAAAATGGACTTAAAACGTTGTGGCTCACAAGGTGGTCTGATTTTAATTGAAATGGGATGAAATGGCTCTTCTTAACATTTGGGTTGCCAACCCCTGCCATAGGAGCCATTTTATCCCATTTCAGGAAAAATCAAACCACCTTGGCAGCCGAAATGTTTTATTTCCTATTTTACTGCAAAGAATGATTATTTTTACCTAAAATGTGATTCTGCTGCAAGGGGGCAGTAAACCAGCCGGATGTCACTCCGGAGCCTCATATTGCCGACACTTGACCTATGGCTTCCACATTGAGAGGGGCTTCCACATTGTTGGGGGTTCACATTAACTGAATAACTGATTTAGCAACCAAATACTAAGAGAAGTCCAGAAATCATAGGAGGAGTCTTACCTACAGCTTCTTATGGTGTAGAGCAGGGGTGCACAACTCCGGTCCTGGACGGCCAGTGTCCAACAGAGTTTGGTGAACTGCTTGAACACACCTAATTATACTTATCTGTTAATTGCCAGGTTAAGATGGTGTGTTTGAGCAGGACCTCCATCCAAACCTCCAAACTGTGCTGGACACCAGCCCTGCAGAGTTGTGCACCCCTGGTCTAGACTCAGCCTGACTACGAGGCTAAGGTAGCTAACCATAAATGAAAGCTTATAGTCCACCAATTAGCATGGTGCTAATCTCTCTCTCTTAGGTCCTCACAGAGCTCACAGAGCTGCAGGTGTTGTATCTCCATGGTAACAGCGTGAGTAACCTGTCAGAGGTGGATAAGCTGGGGACGCTGCCGTTCCTGCACACCGTCACACTGCATGGCAACACCATGGAGACCGTGCGGGGCTACAGGTACAGGCCAAAGGTCAGGGGTCAGTAAAGCGCCAAGGGACCAAATCAGATCGGATTAATCGTATTGATTTGTGTTGCCAGGGGATATGTGATCGCCGCTCTTCCTCATCTGAAGATGATGGACTTCAGCGCCGTTACCAAACAGGAGAGAGTCATGGCCTCCATCTGGCACCGGGGAGGGAGGGGCCACAAATCCACCAATCAGAGCAAAGAGGACTGAAATGTCTTCATGTAAACCAATCTGAGCCCCTCTGTGATTGGCTGCTGTGTAGCTGCTGAACACTGATTACATACACAGAACAGCTTTGATCTTTAACGTTTCCCAGTATTAATCATGAACACACCTGGTTGGACCTCTGCACTGTGTCTTCTAGTGTTTTCCTGCTATGATTCACCCTGATAGCTAATTAATCAATCCAATCAGCCTCTTCAAGCTCCGCCCACAAACTTATTCTTTCATAGATACTGTTGTGAGAAACTGTAGAACAGACTCAGTTTATTTCACAATACCTACATTTAGAGTCGGTAATTCATTCAGCCTAACAAGAAACTGTAGAACAGACTCAGTTTATTTCACAATACCTACATTTAGAGTCGGTTATTCATTCAGCCTAATGAAAACCGTAGAACAGACTCAGTTTATATCACAATACCTACATTTAGAGTCAGTTATTCATTCAGCCTAATGAGAAACTGTAGAACAGACTCTGTTTATTTCACAATACCTACATTTAGAGTCGGTTATTCATTCAACCTAATGAAACGAGGTCATTTTTTGATGCTAAAATGTAACTATCAAATATTAATTTACGGTATTATTGACATAATCATTCAAAATCTGAAAAAAGACATTATTCTGACATAATCAAAATTTGGAAAAAATTTTTTTTTAGGTTAAAACGTCAAACTTTCAACATACTGTTGAAATCTTCCGCTTGATTTAGAGGTCAAAAGGTCACATTTCCCACAAGTCAACACTGTGAGCTTTAATTTAATTAACAATATGCGTAATTTAATTAACATTAACAGTTCATGGAGGAGATGCAGTAGTTTGATGCTGGGGCCCTTAATAACCTTCATTTAATGAAGCATTTTTATGTATTTGTAAGCATTTTGCATCAAATTTTGCTACCTAAATACCTAAATACCTAACTTAAATAAAGTTAAACAATCACTACACAAACATAAAAACAAAGTTAGTGCAGCTACTAAAGTCAGCCTTTAAGTTTATCACTTAAATCTGCTAATCTGATTAATAATGCTGAAAATAGTTTGTATTTGTCTCCTTTTATAATATTATTATAGTTTAACTGGTTTTATTTACTCTGTTTTGCAGCTATTTTCCTATTTTCGTTTCTGAGTCTCTCTTTTCTGTGATGTGTGTGTTTCTGTGTGTATTTTCGACGTAAATAAATAAATAAATAAATAAATAAACACAAACATTCCAGCATCACGCGCCTGCTGGGCGGAAGCGGAAGTAGTCCGGGTCCGAGAGCGGTGTCATGTGACAGTGTTTCCGCCTCAGAGCAGAAAAGAGGAGAGAAAATCTGAACTTTCCGCTGTTTTTCTCCCGAAAACGGCCCAGTCCGCTTTTTACGGCCCTACAGGAGGAGCTGGAGACAGACTGAGCCCATGGGGTGCTGTTACAGCAGCGAGACGGAGGCCACCGAGCAGGTTAGCCAGCGTGCTAAACGGCCACCAGGCTGCACTGGGCTTCTCAGCTGAACTCTTGGTCCACCTTAAATGGACAGTGGTTACATTCCGCCGCCTCAGGCTCCAGAATGGAACTGCTGTCCGTTTAAGGTGGACCGGAGAGTTCCAACAAGAAGCTTACTTTAGCCTCGTTTAAGAGCTAACAGCAGCAGTTTGGGGTTAAAATAGTCAAACTACATTATATTTAATCCGCTAAAACGGTTAATTTAATCCGAACAAGGGCTTAAATCACACAAATTTGGGGGAGCGTTAGCAGGTCTGAGCTGGAGGGGCGCAAAGAAACTTACAAACTGCTTATTTAGTCTGTTTACCTCCTGCAAAACAACCAAAATGTGAGAATACGTTGAGTTTGAGCGCTGAACTCTTATAACAACTCATTTTTAATGCAGTTAACATTCATATTCACGCAATAAGAATGTAGACTATGATATAATTTAATAAAATACATGATAATATGGAGGTTTTACACATTTGACTGTCTCTGTTGCACCTTAACATTGAAATCCTGCAGCAGGAATGGAGTAAAATCCTCGTGATCAGTCCAGGAACAAACGCTGAGAAGTGTCTGAGTTTCCCTATCTGTTTTTTCTGAAGTTAGTCATGGTAGGGAATAAAAATGAGTGCTCAGTTTTTCCCCTGAAAGACTGAGTTGTAGTGCTAATAATATAAACTCACAGACAGACCCTAAATTTGACTTTTATCTCACAAGCAGTGGCCTGATGTATCAAAATTTCAACTTATTGTGATAAATAATGGCTCCTTTTTTCTCACATTCTGGGTTAATACAGTGAACTGAGTAGTTTTTCTCAAATATTTGACTTATTTTGAGAATTTGCTGGTATTGTTATTCAAAATAAAGGCTTATTTTCATACAACTTTGGATCATCTGTATTGACTTAGGTTGATATTCTGATACGGTGTCAAGAATGATGAGTTATTAGTTTTGGCGAAAGTCAGAGCAAGTCATTATTTCAGAATATTAAGTCATTATTCTGAGATAGAAAATCAAAACTGACAAACAGCAGCCAGAAAAAAACAACCACACAAAGTGCAAATGTGTGAAATGACACTATTTAAAATAAAATAAATTGTAGTTCTAGTATAATTTGTATCTCCTCGCTGTTCTTAATGTCAGCTACTGTTGTTGTTATCGCATAACAGAATTTAATTCTGTTTCAAGCTGTGAGCAGTTCTGTGATATTTCAGGCTGGATTTGTTACAGAATCAAAGATTTTTTTCACCCCTGGCTGCAATTCAGTGTTTTTTTGCTGATGTGTATTTTGTTTGCTGTCAGATGTTACGTAATTACCTTACTGCAGTTATTAATTTATTCTCCACAGTTTTAAGCTGTTAGTCATTTGTTTACATTGCAACAAACAGAATAAAAGAGCTGGAAGGCATTTATTGAAATCTTCACTTGGTGCTGTAACACCTTTAGGGGGCAGCAGTGAGTCATGTTTGTTTATTTGAGCTTTTATTGTTAATCTCAGTTATTTATATGCATTTAATTATTCATGATCTTCTTTTTTTTGTGATCATTTTTAGGATTCAGGGTTGCCTGTTAAAGGGCCAGTATCCTGTTTTTTCTTATTTCTTTTTTAATTAAGTTGTTATGTTTGTATGCTTTTTTGCTGCATAAGCAGCCGTAATTATAAGTTAAAGTTAAATTTTTTCTGTCCCTGTCCACTTAGTCAACATATAATGTTTGTGTTGTTTGATGTAGTCTAATCCAGTATCATTTTTCAACCGTTTTCCAGCCCCTCTTCATCCCTCACAGTTAAACAGGCTGCATTTGTTACTGTGCCTTTAAGACTGATTTATGTAAATGAGCTCTGTCCTGATTGGCTGTTCTGTATCGTGCCTGATTCAGAAAGCAGTGCAGGCAATAACACTTGTAAACGGGAGGGGATGAATATGTGTACATGAGTTTGTGACATCACAGAAACAGTGAGATCAAAGCAGACTGTTGGTGCAGTGAGTTAAACATGCTGTGGGCTCTTTAAGCGCTGGCCGTGCAGGTGCTGCTGTCCTGCTCTTCTGCGTCGTATCAGAGTTCAGCTATAGATAGAACAGGCCACGGCTTCACCTGCCAGAAAGTGGGAGGGGCCTGGTGAGGACCGGGTTGGAGAAGTGGTGTTGAAAACCATCCTTAAGTAAGAGCTGTTGCTGCAATGAGGTAACAGCTCGAGCAGAAGTGAAAGCTTTAACTGACCTTTCAGCTTTCATTAAATCATTATTAAGAAATGTATTCAAAGGAGGAATCATTACAAAATCTAATCAGATGACTTTTATTCTCTCATCATGTTTACACTGGTGTGGATGGGTGTGAACACTGTGTATTAAATACACAAAATGTACACGTTAACAAACATACTATTCCATTATCCTTGCATAGATATACAGCCTATACAGCATATACACATTATCACACACACTGGCCTGTCACTGTTATTACATCATCAGTTATTACATCAGCACAGTTATTTGAGATGATCGCAGCTGTTGAAGCTGACTGCAGTTGTTTTATTACGCTGCAAAAAACAGAATGTGAACTGGCTGCGTTGTGTTGAGGCAAATAAATGGAAATGAAAGAAAGCAGTAAGAGCTTTTATTGAGATATAAATGGGTTTATGGAAACGGGTCTAACTTCTAACCTGGTGCGTTAACATTTAGAGGGTAGTGGTGAATAGAAGTGGGCAATATGATGATATTTTATGGTTATTGTGATAAATTATGTCACAGTACACTTTTTGAGGATGTGAATATCATCAGTATGATGTTACTGTATTATCATACAGTACTGTTCTACTACCGGTTTAATTACAAATTGAGCATAATTGGGGCTCTTCAATTGTTTCTGGATTTTCTGTAAAGCTGCTTTGTGACAACGCCTGTTGTAAAAAGCACTAAATAAATACATTTTATTTCACTTTAATTTAGTGCGGTGAGTGAAACGCTGAATAAAATCGCTGTATTACTATTTTTGCCCCTAGCAGAAAAAATCATTATTGTGTATTCTGAAGTATTACTGGGCAGTATGACAGTATACATGGTTATCATGATAAATTATGTCACAGTACAATACAATATGCTTTTCTAAACATATTATGTGTATCATCAGTGCTTATAGATACTGATTAACAGCATGTTTCATTATAAAGAGAGCAAAATTAGTCTGTTTAACTGGATTTAGTGTCATGGTGAATAAAAACTCCCTGTGCTTACAGTTGTTGATAGTATTTTTTTAAAATGTAGCAATACTGGCTCTTTTTTTTTCTCTGTTTCAACTGATCTGATGTCTGAAAAAATAAATATCATGATACATTGTGTATCATTAAAATTAATTGAAGTATTGCAATATTGTATTTTTTTCCACATTACACACCTCTATCCTTAAGTATCGTTTGTTTTTTGTCATATTGTCCACCCTGTCTTAGATGCACACTGATAGCAGAGTCATATCAGTACTGAGTGATTATTAGAGTTAAGAATTTTATAAAGTTTATATGTTTGATATTGCAGCCTGATATGTGATGTGAGTATTTAACTCCAGAGGAGCAGAATGTTTAAGTGAGCTTTGGTTGCTGCGCTAAAATATGTGTTGTATTCATTTTCCTGCATTGTTGTGAATGTTTATGATTTTCTGTAATGCTGATAGAGTAGATTTAGTCCCAGTTTATGTGCCAACATTGCAAGACATGCTCATGAAAAATATGAGATACCAGCATTTCTACATCAATGGAATCTTTATTTATATATTATTTTGTTATATTATTGTTGCTGTTTATATTATTGTTGCTGTTATATGTGCTTTATATGTAAGATGACCTTAGTGACAAAAATAGATAAGATCTACAGGTGTGTGGAGGGGGGGGTCTTCGGGGGAAGATGCTTTCAGTGGTTTAACTGTTTACTGCAGTCATGGTTAAGAGGACTTACCAGTGCAGGCCAAACTTTCAGCCACATTAGCCTCGTAGCTCCTGTGCTAAAGCTAAAGATGCTAAGACTTCAGACATGTCTTAGCGCATCATATTTGACAGGAGGAACTGGATTTTTCACTTTGCTCTGTGTGTGTGTGTGTATTTCTATGTGTATGTTGTCCTATGCAGGATCGATCAGAGCGTAAGCCGCTGATTCCACATCCAAACCCAGACAGTAAACCCCCCAATGGGACGGAGCGAAGCCCACCAGGACTGTCGTCCACACGCACTGATGAACAGGCCCTGCTCACCTCCATCCTCAACAAGACCGCAATGTATGTACGCAGACATCTTCGTCCTCACCACACCAGTGGTTTGGTGTGAAACACTGTTTTGGAGAAACTTACCAAGTCAGAACTGTTCACAGTGGTGGTGATAGGAACCAGACGTCCCCCTCCAAAAGCTCCCTCACAGAAAGTTACTACATGAAATGGTTATGAATTCACTGCCTGATGACTGAGACACTGTTTTATGATAATTTTGGGAACTTAAACTCCATTCGTGGTGGAGGGATACATGCAGGGCGCTGTGAGGCCAAATAGTCCCCAAAGAAAACTTATTTCGGATTTTCCACTATTTTCATCATCAACACTCCATATAAACTCAGAAGACTCGTGTAGGTTCACTGGTGGTTTTGGATAGTAAATAAGTTTTTTGAGGGTGAAATGTTTTTATCGTAAGTTGGAAGACGGATCCTAAAGCTAGGAAGCTGAATATCTTACTGCAGTAACTGTTCATCATTACAGTGGAGAGAACAGAGTACTGAAGCCACAGAAATGACTCGTCAGAAGAAGAGAACAAGCTAACAACTGAAGTGGGGCTGTCAGAATTCAGCGTTTTAATATTAGTTGAATCCAAAGAAAAAATGCACATTTTAATCTTGAACGTGTCCATTAGAATGATTTAAGGCCTCCTAATACTGTATGTTCCAGACTGGTAATTCACTAACATTTTTAGAGATGATTTGGTTTTAATTCGAATTTAATGGGGATATTTGAAAACATGTGACAGTTTTTAGCAGCTCAGTTTAGATAGTATGTTGACTTTATAAACTAATTAACGCTAACAGGCAGAAATGAATTCTCAAGTAAGGTAACAGGATGATGATCTTCAGACGGGAGATCACTGGGGTGGAGATTTTATAGAAAAGTCCTTCTCAAAGATTAGTTAGAATAGACACCAGACTGAGAATCACCAATTGGGGGCACTTGATAATTTATGCTGAGCGCCCCCTGGTGGATTTAAGAGATGTAACATTGACTTGTCAGTCTGTGGTTTAATGCAGTGAGGGATCTCCCTTATTGTCTTTGCAGAATAACGTATTTAAAGTAGTGCTGTATGATTTGGACATAGAATGCAATGTTCAGTAAAGCTGTCGGGTGTCATGATGATGATGATGATATGATAATTGATAAATTATTGTTAAAATAGAGCGTGGTTGACTGGTTGTGATGCAAGTACAGACTTTTTTATGTGTAAACAGAAGTTGAACTATCTTCTCCTTTAAGCAAACAGAAAAATACAAAATTACGAAAGCTCTGTTTACTGTTGTGCAAAATAAAAAGAAACAAAACACTGTCAGCTGTTTTCATCCTTACTGCAAGCACATTTTTGTGCGCTGAAAGGCTGAGAAACAGCATCACCAACAGCTTTTTCTATAAAGGCTACACCAACAAAATAATGTATTAATTTTTATATACACTCTTTAAAAACTATGGTTCTTTGATGGTTCTTTAGTAAGAAAGTAGAAGTGATTCCCCCAACCCCCCTAAGGGCTATCAATCGCAATGGTTAAATAAAGACAAAGCAATAAAAATAACATATGTGGCGCTTCCTGATCAGTTATTGGCCCGAGGCTGGTTCAGACTGGACTTTAGGTTTCTGTTATACAGCTGCTGATACAGCTTTCTGGCTCGCACAAAACAACAAAAATAAAGACACTTCAGCATGGTTCTAATGCAAAGTTTACAGCCTGGCTCTTCACTAAATTCATGATGATCATATTCAGCTTTCTCAAACATTTTGCATTATAAAGTTTGCTTGGCCAGCTGGTTAGAACATAGAGGCTAACTAGCCGTGATTCTGTATTCCGACTGTGATCATTTTGTTTTTCCACAGCTATTTATATTACTGTTAACATGACAAATCTCCATACATCCCTGTACAAGCTTAACAGTTTGGCTTCTCTCTCTCTCTCTGTCTCTCTCTCTCTCTCTCTCTCTCTCTCTCTCTCTCTCTCTCTCTCTCTCTGATCAGGAGCATTATTGATGTATCAGCTGCAGACTCCCAGGGCATGGAGCAGCATGAATACATGGACAAAGCCCGACAGTACAGGTGTGTGAACTGATAAATGACCTTATTATATATGGCTTCTATTGTTTCATTTAAAACTGCTCTATTTCCATACAGTCACTCTGACAGACTGTAATACACTACAGGAAGTGTAGGGGGCGATATGCCTTCTACTGTTTCGTTTAAAAAGCCTCTATAATGTTCATATGATCCACACAGTCATTCTGACAGACTGTAATGCACTACAGGAAGTGTAGTCTTGGTCCTAGATGGACTCACAGAGTGTTTACTTGATCCTCCTGTGTTTTTCAGCACTAAGCTGGCCGTGTTGAGCAGTACTCTGTGTCAGAAGAAGCCGGCTCCTCTGCCCTCTCTCACCAGCCAGCCTCACCAAGTGCTCGCCAGTGACCTGGTGCCATACTCAGACGTCCAGCAGGTACGGCAAGATTTCTGACTGTTTCAGTATACATCACCGTTTGTGTAGTTTCACATAAAACTAGCTTAGATTCTTGGTTTTTGTTAACAGTGGATGGTACTGTTATGGTACAGTGGATTTTTAATAAGAAACTTTCTTAACAACAAAAGTAAATCTCAGATATTTTTGTTGTGCATTAATAGTAAAAACGTGAAAAGTTTTATTGTTTTTTGAAAAATATTTGCCCATTTTGAATTTGATGCCAACAGCACGTTCCAAAAAAGTTGGGACAGGGGGAAACGAAAGGCTGGTGAAGTTGTGTAATGCTAAAAAAACACCTGGTGGCAACAGGTCAGTAACATGACTGGGTAAAAAAAAGAGCATCTCAGAGAGCATCTCAGAGAGTCTTTCAGAAGTAAAGATGAGGAGGGGTTCACCTCTCTGTGAAAGACTGCATGATCAAATAGTGCAACAATTCAAGAATAACATTTCTCAATGTAAAATAACAAATAACTTTTGTTTTTATATAATATCGTTAAAAGATTCAGAGAATCTGGATCGCTGTATGTAGGGGACAAGGCCAAAAACCCAGTATTTGCCGTGATCTTCAGGCTCTCAGGCAGCACTGCACTAAAACAGACATGATTCTGTAGTAGAAATCACTACATGGGCTCAGAAACTCTTCTGAAAACCACAGTTTGTCACTGTATCCACAAATGCGAGTTAAAACTCTAAAACACACAGAAGAAACTGTACATAAAGAAGACCCAGAAATGCTGCCACCTTTTCTGGGCCTGAGCTCTTTTAAAATGAACTGAGGGGAAAGTGGAAAAGTGTCCTGTGGTCCGACGAATCAACATTTGAAATTCTTTTTGGACATCATGGACACTGTGTCCTCCGGGATAAAGACCACTCAGCTTGTTATCAGTGCACAGTTCAAAAGCCAGTATTCATGATGGTATGGGGGGGCATTAGTGCACATGGCATGGGTGACGTGCACATCTGTGAAGGCACCATTAATGCTAAACGATATATACATGTTTTGGCAACATATGCTGCCATCCAGATGACGTCTTTTTCAGGGAAGGCCTTGATTATTTCAGCAAGACTGAATGTTCACATGATCATATGATCCACACAGTCATTCTGACAGACTGTAATACACTACTGGAAGTGTAGGGGACGATATGCCTTCTATTGTTTCATTTAAAAAGAGCTCTATAATGTTCATACGATCCACACAGTTGGTTGTTGGTTATTGTTCACAGACTGTCTATAACTGGTCTAAATCTGTCTTTTTGGTCCGTGCAGATTTTCAGTGTTCTAGATGTACTCAGAAAGAGTGTCATATTAGAGTTCATCACAATATTAATCACGTTCTTATCCATCTCTCTCTCTCTCTCTTTCTCTCTCTCTCTCTCTCTCTCTCTCCTCCAGGTGTCTAAGATAGCAGCGTATGCATATAGTGCCATCTCCCAAATAAAGGTGGACGCCAAAGAGGAGCTTGTGGTGCAGTTTGCTATTCCATGATAGGTCTTCATCTCAACCCCTCAGCCCCGCCCCGCCCCCACATGTCTCTCTTTCTCTCCCTTCCTCTTTTCTTCCCTTTGTGCTCGTTCTTCAGCTAACTTAGCCAGCGGGGGATGAGCCCGCCCCTCTGCTGTCCCTTGTCCAATCAGACGCACAGTTTCTCCCGAGGCTCCTGCGGGACATCCTGCTTCGTGCGTGTGCTCCAATAGTGAGTTCACCCTCGTTCGGACTGGTGACGAATGCATGCTGAGCAGCTCTTCAGGCCTCTTTACACTTTCTCAACAGGATCTTAATAAACTCGCCGCGCTCGGTTCCGCCTGTGATGGTTCCGCCTGCGATGGTCCTTCTGTAGCGGTGTGTTCAGGTTTGCAGCCAGACTGATCAAATCTAGACTCTAAATCTGATCACCTTTATAGTTTCCACACGATTCGCCCTCTTAAGGTTCCGCCCACTGACGCACAGCTACTGCCGTGAGGTTGGACAAGCTTTAGAGAGAAAATCCCATCCGGCCCAATGAGAAACTGTAGCTCAGCTTTTGTTAATTAAACGTTGTTTTGCTTTGTTTTGTTTAGGTTGGATGACCGGTCTGGTTTAAAATCATACAATGCCGAGCTGGACTTCGTTGTTGTAGATAATCAAGCCTAGAAACAACAAACATCAGCGCAATTAAAAAATAAAAGTTCCAGGTCTGTCCTATCAGAGCAACCTTTTATATGCATACAAAATAAACGTCATTAGAAATTAAAGGGCCCATATCCTACATTTCTCTTGGTTTTTTTTATTTTACCCCCTGAACTTCACTTACTACATAAACAGTCATATGCAGTGAACACCAAAAACAGTCATAATTCATTTCTGAACAATCATTTTCTTCATCCAATATAATTAAACAGGCTGTTTCTGTTCCTGTGCCTTTAAGACTGATTATATGCAAATGGGCTCTTCTGATTGGCTTCCCTGTATCATATTTAAAAAGTAGTCCAGGCTATAACATCAGAGTGAATGGGCGAGGCTAAACTGCTGCAGGCTGAATAGATGGCTATACGTAACTGTGACATCACAGAAACAGTGAATTCCAGACAGGCTGTTTCATACATTGACTGTGTGGATTGGCGTTAATGCGTTTGTGGGCGGAGCCTGAAGGGGGTGTTCAGTTTTTAAATTCTAAGCTGCTGTGTGGGTTTGCTTATGAAAGTGAAGTATTGATTACTGCATGTTTAAATGCTCTAATAATTAATAAAGGTTCTGCAGTTAGGTTTGTACGTTTAAGTCCTGTTTAAAGGCAGTTGTAACACTAAACGGGAGTTATTAGCGCTCGTTCTGTTCAGAAGTGCTTTCTAAATTTTGCTTGTTTACGTTTACGGAAAACACATTAGCACAGGTTTATCCTCAGACATTCACACAGGTTTATGTTTATTCTCACTTGTAGGACCTTTGATGGTGAGACTGTCCCTGTCATAATGTTAATGTACTGAGATTTTATTTTGAGTCATTTTGCAGCGTTTCTGTTGGTCCATTCATCATTAAATGTTCACAGCTGCATCAAACAGTGTGGACAAATAAAAATGACAAAATAAAAGATTTTTATTATTATTGTTTTTAATTATTATGAGTTTATGATATGGATGCGATTATATGCAGCCTGGCTGTGGAACATTCTAGATTTGTCCAGTCTGGCTGGAGATGCAGAAATGATGGGCAGCCTATATTAGAACATTGGCTCCTCCCTCTGTCCACTAATCCCATTGTTGTCATAATAATGAAAGCTGAGGTGAGGTGGGGTGGGGTGGGGTTGGGTGGGGTCTAAATCATGAATATTCATTAGCTGTGTGTTAAAACTGTTGAAGGAAGCTGGGTCGGGGATTCTGCTTCTATCTGCCATGAATTTGGGAGGTTTTTGTTCATAAAGAACCTTCAGAAGGAACTCTGCCAACATTCTGGATGAACAGAAGATGCTAGAAGTTCAGCAGCGTACCTGAGTGTGGAGTTCTGTTTGATGGCCTGTAGAGGATTGTGGGTTGTGTACAGATGAATTTAGGGGATTGTTGGGGGTGGGGGGGGGGTGTTTGGGCTGTGATTATACATTATATATTTTGTGTTGATGCCTTTAAAACGCAGAGCGCGTCTCTAGAAAGACTAAAGCAGCATCTGAGCTTCAGAATCAGGAGCGTTTTATTTTCCACAGTGGGGGCGGGGGGCCGGGGGGGTTGGGTTTTGACAGGAGAACAGTTCCATCATTTAAGCCCAAAGTGGACAGGCCTGTCTTAAAGGGGAAGTCCACCAAATTTTCAAAATTGAAAATTAATAATGCATAATGTAGAGTTTACGATGTAAACAGAGTGGTTTGGTGTGAAATGGTTCAGATGTCTTTACAGTGGTGGTGATAGGAACCAGGGGTCGCCACGAGTACAACACAAATATAGACATTTTATTTACTGTCCAGAACCACCAGTGAACCTACACAAGTCTTCTGAGTTTATGTGGAATGTTGATGATGGAAAATAGTGGAAAATCTGAAATAATACGTTTTCTTTGGGGACTATTTTGCCTCACAGCGCCCTGCATGTATCCCTCCACCATGAATGGAGTTTAAGTTCTCTAAACTATCATAAAACAGTGTCTCAGTCATCAGGCAGTGAATTCATAACCATTCATGCAGTAATTTCTGTGAGGGAGCTTTTAGAGGTGGACATTTGGTTCCACTGTGAACAATGCTGACTCGGTAAGTTTCTCTAGAGTGCAGAACCTCTCTGAATGACTCTGTTTACATCTTAACCACATAATTATCTGGGAATTTTGGGAAATCAGTGGGATTATCTCGCTAATCGATCAATCGTGTTTTGTGAAATGAGCCCCTCAGCAGCACTTTTAGCCCACCAGTCCATCTTTTAAACAAGAGAACACAAAATAAGAGATAAAGGCATTCGTACTAAAATCAGAACTAACAATACATTTTATACACAGTTATTAGTGATTTAATATGTGCATATTATAATAATATTTATAATAATAATAATATATATAATACTAAACAGGAATTCAGCATTGAGGATGTTCTCTGTGACTGCTGTACTTTCTATACATAATCTGAAATAATCAGCAGCAAAATGTTTGTAATTATTTATTTTTCTTTTAATGTATGTATGTAGGCTCACGTCCGTGTAGTCATGGTGCATCAGCGCGCACTTTCACTGGCTTACGAAAGGGATTAAATACGCTGCAAACATTTTTGTCTTTGTTTTATTATAATAATTATTATTATTTTGTTGGCTTTTTTTTGCAGTGTGCTACTAGTGTTGTTCTGTTTTTCTTGTTTGTTACCTAAACGTGTACTACTACCTGAATTACAGTGAATTACGATGTTCATTTCTTAGGCTAGAACCAAAAAGTTTGATTCAAATATTCTGTTAATACTTTTTTTCCTTTGAATGAAATGATGCATTAAAGACTTTGGAAACTGTACATTTGTGTGAATTGTCTTTATTTAAGTATGTGCACAGAAGTAAAAGATTATTAGTTCTTGAATAAAATTTGCCACCCGAAGCCCTGTTGGCTGATTGGGCGGAGCTAAACTGCTGTAGGCTGAATGGGTGGGGCTCATAGAATGTGCATAAGATTGGACGGCAAACAGCAGGTGAAAAGTGAAGCCAAAATGTCTCTGATGCCCTCTGGTGGCTGGCTGCAGTACAACTTTTAACCCCAGCCATTCCCATGAAAGTGAACGTGACTGAAATGAATCTTTAAGTTTACACATCCAGCAATATTTATTTATTTATTTTTTTTTGCAAGTGGTGTGTCACTTCTGCAAGCCTTTGTGCTTCTTAAACATACCCCAATATTTTTTTTTCACCATAGATTTGTGTTGTAGAAGGTATTTGGTGATACTTAAAAGGGTGTAGTAATGAGTTGATTGACAGCTTTGTGAACGCACAGGCACTTTCCATTGCTCTACTGCCTGGACTAATGTGGACACAGCACAGCTCCTTCTGACATTGTTTACTTTTTTTACAGTATTCATGAGTTTGAGTGATCATTTAGAGCAGGTGTGGGTGTGGCTGCAGGTTTTAACTCCAACAAAGCAGGAGCTCACCTGATGAAATATCTGAAGACTAAGACCAACTGATTAAACGGGTAGAATCGGGTGAGCTCCAGCTTGTTTGGAGTGAAAACCTACAGCCACACCAGCCCTTTGTAGATAAGATTGGACACCCCGATTTAGAGCATTCTAAAGTGAAGCTATGTCTGATTGGACAGTAAACCGTTCTAGCAGATCCTCGGTTGGAAGTTCTTCGCCGTCTTCATGGTTGTTTTCGGTAAGTGGCTCATTTTCATATGTAGCTATCTGTTAATTAAAGTTAGCCAGCTAGGCAGTGGAAGTGGCACTAAAACCTGTAGCACACATTAATTCAGTTTGAGTATTAAAGTATTGTTCTTTTCAAGTTCCATTTAAAGTTAATAAGACTCTGTGAAACGTTTTCTGAAACTAATACAAATGTAAATAATGATATTGTGTCTAGTGTGACTGAATATGTTGGCTTTCTTAGCTGTTTTTATGTCAGATTAGCTAATCACTGGCATTAAATGTTTGTCAGATAAAGTTAGTTGAACAAATAAAAAAGTTTTGAAATGTGATATTACAGAAAGCTTAATTTGATTAATTGCAGTGTTACTTTTGTTATTTAACCTTTTATTAATAATGGTTACAAGGATTTTACATAACTCTGTGATGTTTATGTTTAAGGGTAATGGTCACATAAAGAGCAGCAGTACCTACCGCTTGTCTTGTCTCAACATTTGATGATTCCAGCCATTGGTGAGGCGCAGGACCATGGGTAATTAAGCTAGAGGTAAGAGGTTCCTCACTTTCGGCTTGCACCACTTTGGATTTGAGTCTACAGAGTGTTTTATAACATTTTATATAGGGCTATTTTCATTACAGATTACATATTTTGTGGATATGCACATTTAGCAACAAAGCATTTTTATGTATATTGAAAATGTTAAATCACAATAATTTGGTTAGAAATTCACATTTATATTTATATATACATTCTACACCACACCTGGATACATTTGCTCTTTGAAATAAATAAGTGAGGAGAATTCTACACTGAAACTCAAGTCCAATAGTCCTTTATTTATTCAAGGAGATTTACATTTTAGGGCAGACAGAGATGCTTGTGCTATCTATTACACAATACACACATTTGCATCAGACAAACACAATGTGTGAAAGCAAATAATAAACAGGATTATTAATGCAATAAATAATTAGAAATATAATGAATACATAAAAGCAGGGATGAATAATGTACAATACTTCAGTAAATGCAGATATAAAATATTACCTGACTAAAAGCACTGTATATCTACTTAGGTAATCGTACAAAATTACTTTGCTTATGGTTATACTTAATTATCAACAGTAAATAAAAAATAAAAAAGGTTTCATTCATCTTCTTAAACTGCTGGATCCAGAGAATCCTAGAAACCCTGTCCCCTGCAACTTCCTCCAGCTAATTCTAGAGGATACCAAGCTACTCCCAGATTTAAACCCTCCAGTAAGTCCTAGGATGACCTCAGGGTCTTGTCCCAGTTGGCCGTGCCTGGTAAACCTCCAACAGGTGGCGACAAGGGAGCATCCTAATGAGATACCCAGACCACTTCAGCTGGCTTCTTTCAGTGAGGAAGAGTAGCATCTCTGCTTTGAGCTCCTCTCTGATGACTGAGCTCCTCACCCTATTGAGTAGAGTGTAGCCTGCCACCCTGTGAAGAAAGCAGGATTTCTGCTGCTTGTCTCCGCACTTTCATTTTTTCCGTCATTACCCAAAGCTCAACCATTGGTGAGGGTGGGGATGTAGACCAACCTGTAACCAGAGAGCTTTTCCTTATGGCTCAGCTTCCTCTTTATCAAAACAGTTTGGTACAGCAACCACATTACTGCTGCTGCTGTCCCAACCTGCAGCCGATTTCATGATCCCTCCTCCTATCTCTCATGAATAAGACGCTGAGAACAAGACCCCGCTTAAACTCCTCCACCTGGGGCAGGTCTTCTTCCCTTATCTGGAGGTGGCATGCCATCCTTTTCCAGGTGTGGACCATGGAATCAGACTTTGAGGTCTAAGACTTTGAGCTTTCACAGTCACAGTCAGCTGCAAACTGCTTCAGTGCACGCTGGAGGCATTCATGCAAAGGAGCCAAAAGGACATCATCTGCAGAAAGTAGAGTCGGCACCTTCCGGCCTCCACAAATAATGCCCTCCTGACCTCAGCTACGCTTTGACACCCTGTCCATGAATATCACGAACAGGTGTGGAAACAAGGCACAACTTTGGAGTCCAACACCCCCATGGATTCACAAAGGTGAATCTCATCCACCCCCTTTGCCTTGCCACAAGGAGCTTGCCAACTACCTCAGTGACCTCTGCCAGGGAAATGGAGTCTAACACCCCAGAAGCCTCTGGCCTTGAGTCCCAAGAGGCTGTCAGACTCCATTTCCCTGGTGTAGGTCACTGAGGTGTGACCTCAGTTTCTCAGGCTTCCTCAAAGTGCTGCTTCCACCAACCAACAAGATCTTAACTTGAATTCAGAGTTTATCCACCCCTGCTGAGTACAGTATATGTATATACTAATATATGGACACAGCTCTCACTCTTGGTGTACAGACATCAAATGGCACCCCATACTTCTACAGAACCTCCCACAAAACATTTCAGAGATCACAGTTGTAAGCCAACTTCAACCCACAGTATTAAATCCAACTTGGCCGTCATCTGATGTGGCTGATATAAAACATAACGTAGTTGCAGAAGAAAGGCTGGAAACTTTCTACCCACTCCCACAGCTAGAACTGGAGAAGATTATCTCCTCTGCAAATTGTACAACCTGCACAGTTGATGCAGTTCCCTCAAAATTACTCAAAAAAGTACTACCAGTTATCATTAATCCTCTTTTAACTATAGTAAACTTGTCCCTTAGCCTGGGCCATGTACCCAGAGCTTTTAAACTAGCAGTTATTAAGCCTCTGATCAAGAAACCAAACCTTGATGCTAGCATATTGTCTAATTACAGGCTTATTTCTAACCTACCATTTATATCTAAGATCTGAGAAAAAGCTGTAGCCCAACAACTTAGTTCATATCTACATAAGAGCCACATATATGAAAAATTCCAGTCTGGATTCAGGCCACATCACAGCACTGAGACAGCTCTAGTTAAGATAACAAATGATCTTCTTCTTGCCTCTGATCAAGGCTACATATCCCTGTTGGTGCTACTTGACCTCAGTGCAGCTTTCGATACGATAGACCACAATATTCTCCTAGAAAGGTTAGAAAACATGGTTGGAATCACAGGGACAGCCCTATCGTGGTTCAAATCTTACTTAACGGAAGGTTATCAGTTCATAAAGGTAAACAGTTTATCTTCTAATTACTCAAAAGTAAAATTTGGAATTCCGCAAGGTTCTATTTTAGGACCATTATTATTTACATTATACATGTTACCGTTAGGCACAGTTATAAGTAACCATGGCATTAACTTTCACTGTTAAGCAGACGATATGCAATTGTACATATCAGCCAAGCCTGATGACAAATACAGGTTGAAGAAAATAGGACTGTGTAAAAGATGTGAAAGGCTGGATGTTGCGTAACTTTCTCCTTCTAAACAGTAACAAAACAGAGGTTCTCCTTCTGGGTCCAAAAGTGGCAAGAAATAAATTATCAGATTTAATTTTAAATCTTGCTGACTTTCCAGTTATACCTGGTTCAGCAGCAAAAAATCTTGGTGTCATAATTGATCCAGATTTATCATTCGATCAACACATAGGCAGCATCACTAGGACAGCTTTTTTACATCGTCGCAACATCGCCAAAATAAGAAATGCCTTATCGCTGCATGATGCAGAAACATTAGGACATGCCTTTATTACTTCAAGGCTAGACTACTGTAAAGCACTACTGTCAGGATGCACCAGCAGGAATTTAAGAAAACTTCAACTAGTTCAAAATGCTGCAGCCAGGGTTCTCACTAAAACTAGAAAATTTGATTATATCAGTCCAGTTCTATCATCACTTTATTGGCTGCCTGTTAAATTCCGTATTGATTACAAAATTCCCTACATGGGCTCGCTCCTGAATACCTGCAAGACCTTATTTCCCATTAAAAGCCACCACAATTACTCAGATCTCAGAGTGCTGGCTTTTTAACAGTTCCCAAAATTCAGAAGGTTTCATCTGGGGGAAGAGCCTTTTCTTATAAAGCCCCCAATCTCTGGAATGATCTTCCAGAAAATGTTCGGGACTTAGACTCAGTCGCAATCATCAAATCTAGGCTGAAAACTCACTTGTTTAGTTTAGCTTTTGGTAGTTAATGTTCCCCCTTAGATATAGGCAGCAGATCCAGGGGTCCGTGGACGCAGGGAATTATAGTAAACTGAGACGCTGGTGCTGTTGTCCCGCC